GTAAACCCCATGATGAAGTCTCCATAAGTCCGTGACAACACAAAGGCACCAAACAACAACAACAACACTCATTGGATCCCATGCGAGTCAATGCTATGTCCAAACATCATGGGAGCCTTGTGAGGACAGCAGGCTGGTCATTTTCCTTGTGTCATCTCCCCTTCTAATCTGGCCATAAAAATGGTCACATGCGTATGTATTCACATTTGTTTGTTTCCCCCTTTTTTTTATAGCATTGCCTTCACTTTTTCACTTTCAATTTCCCCTGGACCATTGATTAGCAGACTTGCAGAGCTTTGACGTTGCCATTTCGAAGCTAATTCTCACCTAAACCTTTTTTTCCCTGGCATACATAATTCTGAAAATAGGGCCTGGCCTAGTTTCTAATAAGGTTGGCCCCTTGGAAAGCAAACTTATCTTAGAACCATCTTGCATTTGGGTTAAATATCAGAATGAGATGTAGGTGTTAGATCTGTGGCTTGGATCTAGAATCAAATGAATTCTTTTTGTTCTAAAACTTTTGCAAGTTTGGAAGAACAGTTCACCTTTTGGATGTTGATTAGGGACACTTACTCCTATTACTAACTTTCTAAACGATAGCAATTTTAGCCCTTTGGATGCCCTGAAAAGTTTTGCCCTGCTTTTTGCATTTTAAGCTGTGTGTGGGAGGAAGTCAGATGGCTGAGTGACCTATGGTTTAACTTTGGAAAGGCAAGAACAGTGAGAAAAGCCACGGAGGAGGAGGAGGAGTTGTGTGTGGAGGAGGGCAATGAGCCAAGTGCTTTGGCGGAGCTGGTTTTGTCAGATACGTTCTTCTTAGGTGACATTTAACATCACTGGCGGATTATGAAGTGCTCAAAGAGGCTTCCAAAGTATACTCTTTCTACCACTGTACAATTAGATTGTGCAAGTATTTAAAAATAAAACATGTCATGTTCCCTACTACCTTCAACCTCTGTGGCCTGTGTTTGTCTTTGGAGCCCAAGGATGGTTTGAACCCACTGTGCAATAGTGGAAGGATTTGTCTTTTTGTTTTGTAATTCTACATATATTGCAATGTGTATTGGGGATGGTTTTTAATTTCGTTGTACGATGTACAATGATAATAAAGTTACTCTAATCTATATTGCAGCACACACTGACCAGGTTCTGCAGTAGGTTAGGCAAAGAGCCCGCAGCACAGCCAATCTGAGACTGGATCTATACTGCCATATACAATCAAGATTATCTGCTTTGAAGTGGTTTATATGGCAGTATAAGTAAAGCTTTCCCCTGACATTAAGCCATTCTAGCCATTCTGGGGGTGGTGGTGCTCATCTCCAGTTCTAAGCCGAAGAGCCGTCGTTGTCCGTAGACACCTCCAAGGTCATGCGGTTGGCATGACTGCCTGAAGCGTTGTTACCTTCCCACAGAAGCGGTACCGATTGATCTACTCATATTTGCATGTTTTCAAAGTGCTAGGTTGGCAGAAGCTGCACCTAACAGCAGGAGCTCCCCCCTCTCCTCAGATTCGAACTGTCGACCTTTCCATCAGCAAGTTCAGAAACTCGGTGGTTTAACCCGCTGCACCACTATATGCCAGTACAGACTCATATAATCCAGTTCAAAGCAGATAATCTGGATTATCCACTTTGATAATCTGGATTATATGGCAGTGTAGAAGGGGCCACAAATTCATTACTCTGGAGCCTTGACCCCATTTAAAACCGGTGTAAAGTCCTCATTCTGCTGACTTTGCTGACCTATATTCAGGTGAGTCATACTCAAGAAGGCTCCTGCTGTGATAACATCATGGAGGAAGACAAGCTGGGGGTTTTCTCAATGTGCAGGAACACACTGCGACGTGGTGCAAGCCACGCAGGTTTGTGCAGGTTATTTCCAGGATGTGGTTGAGATGGTGTCCTCATTTCTTAGAAGGCGGTCTTTTTTTCTTTCTGACCCCCACATCTGCGGCATACCCAGGAATATACCAAGGAGGAGGGAGCGCTTTGAGTGTGCAAAGGGCCTGATGCATCACCAGTTTGCAGGAAAACCTGTGTCAGCTCCACTGGCTGCCGATCCACTTCTGAACTCAATTCAAAGTGCTGGTTTTGACCTATAAAGCTCTATATGGTTCTGGCCCAGCTTACTTGTCCGAATGCATCTCCCTCTACGTCCCGCCTTGCAGTTTAAGATCATCCGGGGAGACCCTGCTCTTGCTCTCGCCAGCGTTGCAAATATGTCTGGCGGGGATGGCAGACAGGGCCTTCTCAGCTGTAGGTGCTTTGGACTTCAACTTCCATCATTCCTAACAGCCTCAGGTCCTTTCCTTTCCCCCCTCAGCCAGTGGAACTCGCTTCCCACCGAGGTAAGATCAGCTTCATCCCTCTTGTCTTTTAAGAAATTGAAGTTGTGGTTCTGGGACCAGGCTTTTGGACAGCAGGCATATCTAGCGCTTTGAATATGGAATTTGACTGGAATGGTGATACGGCGGTTAACTCCATCAACTCCACTGGACCGGCCACGTTGTCCAGATTCTCACAATTTCCACTCCCTTGACATCCACCTCTCCACAAAAGTCAACATCGATACTGAAATACAACACCACCTGAGCTCTGTGAGTGCAGCATTTTTCCAAATGAAGCAGAGATTTAATGTATTGTCGAAGGCTTTCATGGCCGGAATCACTGGGTTGTTGTAGGTTTTTTTGGGCTATATGGCCATGGTCTAGAGGCATTCTCTCCTGACATTTCGCCTGCATCTATGGCAAGCATCCTCAGAGGTAGTAAGGTTGTTTGAGCACCGGGACATCCGTAGGGAGACCAAAGTTTATAAAGCTATTGTCCTCCCAGCCCTGCTATACGCCTGTGAAACGTGGACTGTCTACAGATGTCACATGCAACTCCTGGAACGATTCCATCAGCGCTGCCTCCAGAAAATCCTGCAAATCTCTTGGGAAGACAAGCGGACAAATGTCAGTGTGCTGGAAGAAGCAAAGACCACCAGCATTGAAGCGACGCTCCTTCGCCATCAACTCCACTGGACCGACCACGTTGTCCGGATGCCTGACCACCTTCTCCCAAAGCAGTTGCTCTACTCCGAACTCAAGAACGGAAAATGGAATGTTTGTGGGCAGGAAAAGAAATTTAAAGATGGGCTCAAAGCCAACCTTAAAAACTCTGGCATAGACACTGAGAACTGGGAAGCCCTTGAGCGCTCCAGTTGGAGGTCAGCTGTGACCAGCAGTGCTGTAGAATTTGAAGAGGCACGAATGGAGAGCAAAAGTGATAAACATGCCAAGAGGAAGGTGCGTCAAGCCAACCCTGACTGGGACCGCCTTTGACCTGGTAACCAATGCCCTCACCGCAGGAGAAGCTGCAGATCAAGAATAGGGCTCCACAGTCACCTACGGACCCTCCACCAGGTCACTACACTTGGAGGACCATCATCCTCAGACTATGAGGGATCGCCTAAGAAGAAGAAGAAGACGGCGGTTAATACTGTTTCTGTTATTTTAATTAATGATGTATTTATTGTTTTATTTGTTGTTATATTGGGTTGTTGTAGGTTTTTCCGGGCTATATGGCCATGTTCTGGAGGCAATTTTTCTCCTGACGTTTCGTCTGCATCTATGGCAAGCATCCTCAGAGGTAGTGAGGTCTGTTGGAAGTAGGAAAATGGGTTTATATATCTGTGGAATGACCAGGGTAATGTTTTAGCTGATGTTTAGCTAATGTTATATTGTTTTGTTATATTTCATGGCATGAAATCGTGCCAAGTGTAAGCCGTCCTGAGTCCCCCTTCGGGGGTTGAGAACGACGGTGTAGAAATACTGGAAATATTAAATACAACCCCCGAAGAGAGGAAGGCCTTCTTGCCTGTGGAACCACCCTCCACTATTTTTTATTTATCGTGTCATCAGCAACCATACCATTATATTACAATTCTAACAGAGCAAAACAAACACAGATTAAAAAGAAAAGAAAAAACACACACAGATTTTGCAAATTTGGTAGTTGGTTAAATGTCCTTTGACCAGTATCTGGCCACTTGGAGTGCCTCTGGTGTTGCCGCAAGAAGGTCCTCCATTGTGCATGTGGCAGGGCTCAGGGTGCATTGCAGCAGGTGGTCAGTGGTTTGCTCTTCTCCACACTCGCATGCCGAGGATTCCACTTTGTAGCCCCATTTCTTAAGGTTGGCTCTGCATCTCGTGGTGCCAGAGCGCAGTCTGTTCAGCGCCTTCCAAGTCGCCCAGTCTTCTGTGTGCCCAGGAGGGAGTCTCTCATCTGGTATCACCCATGGATTGAGGTGCTGGGTTTGAGCCTGCCACTTTTGGACTCTCGCTTGCTGAGGTGTTCCAGCGAGTGTCTCTGTAGATCTAAGAAAACTATGTCTTGATTTAAGTCGTTGACGTGCTGGCTGATACCCAAACAGGGGATGAGCTGGAGATGTCTCTGCCTTGGTCCTTTCACTATTGGCTGCTACTTCCCGGCGGATGTCAGGTGGTGCAATACCGGCTAAGCAGTGTAAATTACACCACCCTCCACTGGAAGCTTTCAACCCTCCTTAAAGGTGCCAGTTTCAAGGGGCAGGTCTTGCTGCAGGACAGGAAGTCCCTCTTTGCCCCTAACCCACCTTGGAATGGCCTTTGCAAGACCCCCTTGGCCCTGAGACTTGATATGAGGCTAGAATAGGCCTGAACCAACTTGAGCCCTCCTTCCAGGTGCTTTGGACTTCAACTCCCATCATTCCTAACAGCCTCAGGCCCTTTCCTTTTCCCCCTCAAGCGGCTGAGTGGGAAAAGGAAAAGGCCTGAGGCTGTTAGGAATGATGGGAGTTGAAGTCCAAAGCACCTGGAGGGAGGGCCCAAGTTGGCTCAGGCCTGGTTTGCACTGTCTATCCAGGAGCAGCTGTGGGAAGGGGCGGGACTTCCTTCAAGAGACCCTGCCTGGAATCAGGAGCCGGAAGCCCCGCCCCTCGTGACGTCATCCGGGGGCGCCTCCGTCCACTCCGGGCAGGGCATCCCGGTGATGATGACGACGATGACGCTGATCCGCCGCCGCCGCCCATAAAGGGCCCGCGGGTCGGCGGAGCAGGCACCCGCCGCAGGGAGGAGGCTGAGGCAGGGAAGGCGGAGGCAGCCGGGAAGGAAGCAGCAGGAGCAGCGGGGCGCCCAATCCCGGAAGGCGGAAGGTGAGGGTCGCCAGGAAGGCCTTCTTCTTCCTCCTCAGGCAGGCCTTTTCCTGGAAAACACCCGGAAGGAAGACAGGAAGGCTTCCTCCCTCTCAAAGCAGGCCTGAGGCTGGGCCTGGATTCTACGGAGCACAAAGTTATTATTATTATTATTATTAGAAACACAACAAGATGAGTCCACAGCAGACACTCTGCTGGCTGTTGTATTGGATATTATTATTATTATTATTATTATTATTATTATTATTGAGCCTTAGTCGGAACCTGGCTGAGAGAGAGAAAAGGAGGCTCTTTATTATCATTATCATTGTTAATTAATAATTACTATCATTATTATTGGGCTGCAGTCGGAGCCTGGCTGAGAGAGAGGAGGGGGCTTATTATTATTATCAGTAGTAGTAATTGCTTTTATTATTATTATTATTGGGTCGCAATTGGAGTCTGGTTGAGAGAGAGGAGGGGGCTTATTATTATTAGTAGTAATAGTAGTAGTAGTAATTGCTATTATTATTATTATTGGGTCACAATCGAAGCCTGGCTGAGAGTAAGGAGGGGGCTCCTTATTATTATTATTATTATTATTATCAGTAGTAGTAATTGCTATTATGATTATTATTGGGTCGCAATTGGAGTCTGGTTGAGAGAGAGGAGGGGGCTTATTATTATTAATAGTAGTAGTAGTAATTGCTATTATTATTATTGGGTCGCAATCGGAGCCTGGCTGAGAGTAAGGAGGGGGCTCCTTATTATTATTATTATTATTATTATTAGTAGTAGTAGTAGTAGTAGTAGTAATTGCTATTATTATTATTATTCGGCCGTAGTCTGAAGTGGATCGGCAGCTTGGCTGAGAGAAAGGAGGGGGCTCTTTGTTGTTATTATTATTAATTATTACTATTATTTCACTGCAGTCAGAGCCTGGCTGAGAAACAGAGGAGGGGGCTCCTTATTCCTTATTATTATTATTATTATATTATTATTATTATTTTATTATTATTATTATTATTATTATTATTGCACTGCAGTTGGAGCCTGGCTGATAGAGAGAGAATGGGGATCCTTATTATTATTATTATTATTAATAATTACTATTATTATTGCATTGCAGTCAGAGCCTAGCTGAGAGAGAGAGGAGGGGGCTTATTATTATTATTATTATTATTATTATTATTATGTATTAATTACTATTATTATTACATCGCAGTAAGAGCCTAGCTGAGAGAGAGAGGAGGGGGCTCATTATTTATTTATTTATTTATTTATTACTATTATTATTACATCGCAGTCAGAGCCTAGCTGAGAGAGAGAGGAGTGGGCTTATTATTATTATTATTATTATTATTATTATTATTATGTATTACTATTATTATTGCATCGCAGTCAGAGCCTAGCTGAGAGAGAGAGAAGGGGGCTCCTTATTATTATTTATTATTATTAATTACTATTATAATTGCATTGCAGTCAGAGCTTAGCTGAGAGAGAGAGAGGAGGGGGCTCCTTATTGCTATTAATTATTATCATTATGGTGCTGCAGTCAGAGCCTGGCTGAAAGAGGAGGGGACTTACTGTTGTTGTTGTTACTATTATTATTAATTACTTTTATTATTGTGCTGAAGTTGCAGTCTGTCTGAGAGAAAGGAGAGGGATTATTATTATTATTGATTACTATTATTATTGCACCACAGTTGGACCTTGACTGAGAGAGGAGGGGGCTATTTGTTATTACTTATTATTATTAATTACTATTATTATTGTTATTATTATTGGGCTCCAGTTGGAACTTGGCTGTGAGAGAGGAGAGGGCTTATTTTTATTAATTATTATTAATTACTATAATTACTATTATTATTGCACCACCGCCAAAACCTGGCTGAGAGAGAAAGGAGGGGGCTTATTATTATTATTATTATTATTATTATTATTATTATTGATTACTATTATTATTGTGCCACAGTCAGAGCCTGAGAGAGAGAGGAGTGGGCTTATTATTGACATTAATTGTTATTATTATTATTATTGCACTTGGGTTGAAGCCTGGCTGAGAGAGGTGGGAGGGGGGCTCCAGCCTCAAAGAGCCCCCTCCCCGCCCCTTGTTCTGCCAGGAGAATGGCAGGAGGCAGTAAGGGGCTATGGGTGCTACAGGGTCAGTGGAGGGGAGACTAAAGGAGAGGGGCTCCTGTCTCTTGACCATTCCTGATTCCCCCCTTCCCAGGCTCTTTTTTTTCACCACCAAGAAGGAAGGAACTATGATGCAAAATGGATATGCAAATATTTGTTGACATCCCACAGGCAGACAGTCTGTGCCCTCTTTCCATGGAAGTTCCCAGAGTGCTTCGGGGCTGTGCAAATAAAGGGAGGCAAATGTCCCCTTGTGTGTCCTTGTGTGGCTGCTGTGAAAGGGGGGGAGGGGGGGCCAGTGGAGCTTTCACTCTCCCAGAGTAGGGCTACCTTTCTGCTGCCTTGAAGTCTAGGACTAAGAACAGTGGGTTCAAATGGCAAGAAAGAAGATTCCATCCGAATGTTAGGAAGAACTTCCTGACTGTAAGAAAAGATGTTCAACTGTGGAACTTTCTTGCCCCAGAGTCTGGTAGAAGCTCCTTCTTTGGAGGTTTTGGAACACAGGCTGGATGGCCATCTGTCAGGGGTGCTTTGATTGTGCTTTTCCTGCATGAAGGCAGAAGGGGGTTGGACTGGATGCCTTTGGGGGTCCCTTCTGAGACTGAGACTAGAGCGACATTGGTGAAGAAATTGAAGTGAATCTCACAAAGCATGGGCTAGAGCAGTGGTTCTCAACCTGGGGTCCCCAGATGTTTTTGGCCTTCAACTCCCAGAAATCCTAACAGCTGATAAACTGGCTGGGATTTCTGGGAGTTGTAGACCAAAACACCTGGGACCCACAGGTTGAGAACCACTGCCGCTAAAGCATATTTGAAAGCCTACTCTGCGGCAATGGAGGCAGCAGAGAAATCATTCTTTGCTGCCATCATTGCATCTGTAAGTAACTGTCCAGCTGAGCTGTTTCGAGTGGTTGGGGGCTATTACATACTGGTCATTAAGAAGAAATCCCTAACCATTCATCAGCCCACTGAGAAGAATTTGCAAGCCTCTTTGCAGATAAAGTCACTCAGATTTGTTCTGACTTGGATGCTGTTATTGATACAGTTCCAATGGATGTAAATCTGGTTCTTGCTTGTCCAGTGTTGCTGGATACCTTTCAATTTGTGCAGCCTGGGGATGTGGACAGCATCCTTGGAGAGGGGAGAGCTACCACATGTATTCTAGATCCTTGCCCTTCCTGGTTGATCAAACGGGACAGAGGGAGTTTGGCCGAGTGGGTAAAGGTGGTGGTTAATGCCTCCTTGGAACAAGACAAAGTTCCAACTTGCCTAAATGAGGCAGTTGTGAAACCCATATTTTTTTAAAAAAATCCTGAACTCCTCTATAATGAACAACTATCAGCCAGTGTCCAACCTTCCCTCTCTGAGCAAGCTTTTGGAGCTTGTGGTGGCCTCCCAATTCCAGGGATTTCTGGATGAGATGGATAATCTAGATCAGTGGTTCTCAACCTTCTTAATCCGCGACCCCTTAACACACAGTGTTGTAGTGACCCTCAATCATAAAATTATTTTCATTGTTACTTCATAACTGTAATGTTGATACTGTTATGAATCATGTAAATATCTTATATGCAAGATGGTATTCTCATTCACTGGACCAAATTTGGCACACATACCCGATATACTCAAATTTGAATGCTGGGGGAGGGGGGTGTGTGAGGATTATGTCATTTTGAAGTTGTAATTGCTGGGATTTATAGTTCATTGACAATCAAAGAGCATTCTGAACTCCACCAATGATGGAATTGAACCAATCCTGGCACACAGAACCCCCAAGACCAACAGAAGTACTGGAAGGGTTTGGTGGGTATTGACCTTGAGTTTTGGAATTGTAGTTCACCTACATCCAGAGAGCACTGTGGACTCAAACAATGACGGATCTGGATCAAACTTGGCATGGATACTCAATATGCCCAAATATGAACACTGGTGGTATTTGGAGAAAATATAGCTTGACATTTTGGAGTTATATTTGCTGGGATTTATAGATCACCTACAATCAAAGAGCATTCTGAATCCCACCAATGATAGAATTAGGCTAAACTTCCCACACAGAGCCCCCATGACCAACAGAAAATACTATGTTTTCTCATGGTCTTTGGTGACCCCTTTGACACCTCCTCGTGACCTCCCTAAGGGTCCCAATCCCCAGGTTGAGAAGCACTGATCTAGATCCATTTCAATCTGGTTTCAGGCCTGGCTACGGAGCATAAACAGCTTTAGTTGTCTTCGCGGATGACCTATGCAGAGAGCTAGAGAGTGTGTCCCTGTTGGTTCTCCTAGATCTCTCAGTGGCTTTCGATACTATTGACCTCCTGGTAGCCTCCTGGGCCGTCTCTCTGGGATGAGACTGGGAGACCCAGTCTTACAGTGGCTCTGTTCCTTCCTGGAGGGCCATACCCAGAAAGTGGTGTTGGGGAATGCTTGTTTGAACCCCAGGCCATTGTCCTGTGGGATTCCTCAGAGTTCCATTTTGTCCCCCATGCTGTTTAACATATACATGAAACCGCTGGGAGAACTTTTGGGGTTTTGGAGTGCGGTGCCACTTATATGCAGATGACACCCAATTCTATACTCCTTTCCACCTGATGCCAAGGAAGCTGTCCTGACCCTAAACCAGTGTCTGTCATTAGTTAATGGACTGGATGAGGGTAAACAAATTGAAACTTAATCCAGACAAGTCAAAGGTACTCTTGGTTGACTGAGAAGGCAGACCAGGGAATAGGGATCCATCCTGTGCTGAATGGGGTCACGTTCCCCCTGAAGACACAGGTCTGCAGTTTGGGGACTCGGCATTAAACTTGGAAGCCCAGGTATCTGCAGTGGCCAGGAGGCGCTTTGCACAATTAAAACTTGCGTGCCAACTGTGCCTGTTCTTTGAAAGGCCTGATCTGGCCACAGTGGTACATGCCTTAATTATTTATTTGTTTACGATATTTATATGCCACCCTTCTCATCCCGAAGGGGACTCAGAGCGGCTTACAAGATATATATACATACAATATATTATATTATTAGCATAGTACAATATCAGTATTATATATAATAAGACTGTTTGGAAACTCCAGCTGGTCCAAACAGCTGCAGCCAGGTTGCTCACTGGGACTGGCTACAGGGAGCAGACAACCCCTTTGTTGAAGCAGCTCTGCTGGCTTCCAGTCTGTTTCTGGGCACAATTCAAAGTGCTGGTGATAACCTTTAATGCCCTAGATGGTTCAGGTCCATGCTATTTGGCTGACCGCATCCCCATGTATGAACCGCCTGGGCCCCAAGCTCCCTTTCAGGTGAGGCCCTTCTCTGTCCCACCTCCATCTCTAGCCCAGTTGGTGGGAACGAGAGACTGGACCTTCCTCCCTTCTCAATGGCTGCCCCAAGAAAGTCCCTTCTTTCCAGGGAAGCCAAAATTCCCCCCTCCCTGCTGTCCTTCCAGTGACAGGCTAAAACCTTTTTATTCATGCAGGTTTTTTGAAGATTATTAAGATCATGTCAGGGGCTCCTGTGGTTTCATATGGTTTTAATCAGAATTTCTTTCAGTACTAATAATGTTTAATACTATTTTAATATTTGTATATTTTTGTATTTGTATTGTAATGCTTTTTAATGTTAGCCTCTTTGAATCTCCTTATGGAGAGAAAGTGGGATATAAATAAACATAATAATAACATTAACAGTAAATAAGATTCTTGTATTATTGCTAAGAGGAGGCTGGATGGCTATTTGATGAGATGCCTGGCAAAAAGAAGGGGGTTGGGCTGGATGGCCTTTGGGGTCTCTTCCCATTCTATGATTCTATGATTATTACTAAGTAGAGACTTGATTTTGTTTTTCCTGCCTGGCAGACTTTCAAGTAGCATTCTATTATGAGGGTTATTATTATTATTATCATTTTTAAGCAGAGGCTGGATGACCATATGTAAGGGGTGTTTTGATTTTGCTTTTCCTGCAGGACAGAAGGGGGTTGGACTATATGGCCCATGCGGTCTCTTCCAATTCTATGATTCTCTTTTCCTGATTGTGTCCTTTCTTGCCCTCAGGTGCTGCGTGGGATCAGGGCCATTCCTTGGAGACAGACTGCTCCCGCCTCCCTCCCCTGACCCCATGCTCCCCCCTTGGGAGCCCCGGGGCCTCCTCTAAGGAGCCCCCCTCCCTCCCTGCCATTTCCTCCTTCCCCCCTGCCGGTGCCCATGGATCTGTGGCCCCCCTGGCTGCTGTGGTGGTGCACTCTCATGGCCGCCCTGGGCAGAGGCACCCCCCAGGGTCCCCCTCGCGTCTATACCAACACCTGGGCCGTGAGGGTCCCGGCGGGGCCCCAGGAGGCCCAGCGTATTGCCAGGAAACATGGCTTCCTCCACGGGGGACAGGTGAGCAACACCCCATTTGTCCCTTTAAGTGGGGAGGAGACCCACTGCTGCCCTTGAGAAAAGTTCCATGTTGATTTCTCACTATGTAACAAAGTTTGAAAATGTTCTGTTCCTGGTTTGAAAATGTTATTTCCTGTTTAATTGTGCAGCCCCTATTTTGCAAATAGTTGTTCTATTCCAAAAGCCTCATTTTTGTGGCCGCCACAAACTAGGGTGGCTTAGATGAGACATTCTTTGCAAAACTATAGCAAAAGGTGCGGCAAGTTGTCCCTCCCCACTAAAAGATTAATCAACCTTTCCCATGCTTTTATGATAGAACCAATGAGGAAATACCATTTATAATCCAGGAACATAAATCATAGTGTTACGTAGTGAAACTTCCATGTTGTTTTTGACTGTTAACAAATTAAATGCCTCCAGGAGAGCACCCCGCTCCCACCCCAGCAGCTTACTTTTCCTTCATCAAATATTATTGAATTCTTTCACAACAGTAAAAAAACAAAACAAAAATAATCCCCCAATCCACCTAGAAGTCATTATTATAATGACATTTTAGATAGTACTACAATCCTTCTAATTATTTGGAACTCATTGAACGTAAGGTTTAATGTCTAATTTACTGGCAACAATATTGACCAGGAAATCTGTCTGGGTTGAGTGGGTGAGGGTAGTGCTGAGAGCAGCCCCCCCTATTTGCTCTGGAGGCTTAAAATGTGTGGGCCTTCCTATTGCCTTGTGGAATATGATAATGACCATATGGATTTGTCTAATCACATCTCCCCATACAGACCATCCCGGGCACCATGGTCAATGGAGGAGGCCTTCCTCTCGGTCCCACCTCCATCACAAGCTTGGTTGGTGGGAACGAGAGAGCGGACCTTCTCTGAGATCGCTCCCCATCTTTGGAATTCCCTTCCTAAAGAAGTAAAAATAGCCCCTACCCTCCTCTCCTTCAAAACACTTCTGAAAGCACACTTATGCACTTTAGTGTACAAAGAGGAGGAGGACTAAAACACGTCACCCATTTGGAATGCTGGCCAACTCCACTTGCACTATATGGCTGCAATGATACATCTTAAAGGAACATCAGCACCAGCCATTTTTAATGTAACTGTATTTTAAACTGATTGAGGGTATTTCTTATAACGTTTATTTATGTTTTAGTTAATTATGTCTTACTCGCTCTTCTGTTATATTTTTTTATCTCAATCTTAATTCTTCATGGTAAACTCACTGTTATTATTGTGCTCCATTTGGTATTTTGTACTCACTTAGGCATTGAATGTTTGCCTTCTTATGTGTAAACCACCCTGAGTCTCCTCAGGGAGAGAGGGTGGTATAGAAATAAATTATTATTATTATTATTATTATTATTATTATTATTATTATTATTCATAGCCATGAACCCCAAGGGAATACCGCATTTCTGCCTTGGGCCCAGGGGCATTGTGAGACTCAGCGCATCCCCCCCCCCCCCTCACAATTGCCTTTGTGGAGGGTAAGGATCAGCTAATGCCTGTCCCATTGCAGCTTGTCTCATTTGGTTTCTTTTGCAGTTTTGTTTAAAGATTAGGGATTTGCATCAGAATCTCCTTAGCAGCATCTGGGCCAATGGGGAGGAGAACAGGCCCAGCTGGAGGCCTTTCGGAGAGAGAGCAGAGGAGGCCAGCTCAGGTTCACAGCCATGTGCCAGACCCACTTGGATCGGGGCCGCTGCTGCAGCTGGCCCTCAGGGAGAACAGCTGTATTTAGGTTTTGTGTGTGTGTTGCGGGGTGGTCGTTCATGTCTCATCCTCCTTCGTCCTGTGTCTTAGATCATTGGAGACTATTACCACTTCTCTCACCGGGCCGTGGCTAAGCGCTCCCTCTCCCCACACCGGTCCTGGCACAGTGCATTGGCCAGAGAGCCACAGGTGAGTGTGCACATGTATGTGTGGGAGTTGAGACTCTTGTGGGGTTGGTTAAGTGGACTGAGGGAAAGTGTCAGCCTCCCCTCCATAAGCCCCATGTATTTAGACCTGAGACTGAAGGACCACCCCTTCCAGCCCTGGTTGCCTGTCCAAACATATCTCCCGCTGTGAACTATCTCAGACGTTAAGATTGTTCTGGGAGGCCCTGTTCTCGGTCCCACCTTCTTCACAGGTGCAATTGGTGGGAACGAGAGACAGGGCTTTCTCAGTGGTGGCCCCTCAACTAAGGAACTCCCTCCCCAATGCAATTAGATCAGTGCCCTCCCTCTTGGCCTTCAGGGAAAAAAGGATAAACATGGCAGTAAGCAGTACAATGAATGAACAGGGATTATGTGCAAGGGACTGGTCATTGCACTTTATCCATTCCCTGGCCCCCCATGTCTTGCTTTGCACTAGCCTCTGCCCAGCCCTCTTAAATTGCCTACGGCTATTCCAAAACTCTGGTCCTATCAGTTCATTTCGCATGAAATAATAGTGTGGGATTGGTCTTTTTAATGTATATGTGTATGTTGAAAATTCTATGCCTATGTTTTGGTTACTCTATATGGTTTTTTCCCCTTGTTTTTGTATTTTGCCTACATGGAAACCACCCTGAGTCCCCTAGGGGAGGTAGAGCAGTATATAAATAAAGTTTTTTTAAAAAAAGTATTATTATTATTTGAAACACATCAAGATGAGTCCACAACAGACACTCTGCTGGCTGTTGAATTGGATCACATATCGGACACTTCCCAAGTGTCTAGGACTGTGTGATGTATCGGCGAATAATGCGTGCAGATCCCAGTAAGGTGGCCTTCTGCAGATTTCAGATGATAATTTTGTCAGTGCCAGTTGTTTTTAAGTGCAGGCCAAGGTCTTTAGGCACTGCACCCCCGTGTGCCGATCACCACTGGGACCACCTTGACTGGCTTGTGCTAGAGTCTTTGCAGTTTGATCTTTAAATCCTCATATCGTGTCAGCTTTTCCGTTTGTTTCTCTGCAATCCTGCTGTCACCTGGGATTGCAAAATTGACAATCCATACTTTGTTTTTTAACACGATTGTGAGGTCAGGAGTATTATTATTATTATTGCTGTTGTTGTTGTTGTTATTATTATTATTATTATTATTATTATTATTATTATTATTATATTGGAATGCCCTTGGTCTATGATTTCCGGTTTATGTGATTTTAATGTTTATATTCATATGTTTTTAACCTCACATTTTAATGTCTAAATGTTATTACGTTTTTATGATTTAATTGAAGGTCATATATTACTGTTGTTTCATGTTAGGTTTTTTGTATGCATGTTAGGCATTGAATTTTGCCATGAATATGTTGGAAACTGCTTTGAGTCTGCCCCTGGGGTGATAAAAGCACTATATAAGTGAAGTAAATAAATTAATTCCTTGCACCAGACAGCCAAGCTGATTGGAATTAGCTAACCAAGACATGTCTTCCTTCCTTCGCTGACCAGAGGGGCTGGTGGAGGGCTCCTTGGAGAAAGAGCTAGAGCTCTAAAGCCTTCCAGAAATGTTCTGATCTTTGGCTGGCAACCCCACCTCCACCCCCTTTGGAAAGGCCTGGACTGACCACTCTTTGCAACAGAAGCATCAGTGTTCTCTTAATTGGCTTCAATTCAGCTGCCCTTTAATGCCATGATTGTGGCGTGTGTGTTTTGGCTCGGGGCTTCTTCCTTCACCGATGTGTGATGATCAGCTGCCCTTGGGGTGGAAAGTGGGACATGAACCAAAGACAACAAGCCAACGGGGCAGTAAAGGGAGGTTGGCGAGTGGGACTCCAGGGGCAGTGTGGGCTTCCTGGCTTGGCTCCAAAGTCCTGCACTGAGACCAGGGTCCCCAATACCAGGCATTATTATTTGTAAAGGTTTCCACTTGACATTAAGTCTAGTCGTGTCCGAGTCTGGGAGGTGGTGCTCATCTCCATTTCTAAGCCAAAGAGCTGGCATTGTCCATAAATGCCTCCAAGGTCATGTGGCCAGCACGACTGCATGGAATGCCGTTTACCTTCCCACCGGAGCGGTACCTAGTGATTTGCACATTTTCGAACTGCGAGGTTGGCAGAAGCTGGGGCTAACAGTGGAGTTCACCCTAATCCCCTCATTTGAACTGCCGACGTTTTGGTCAGCAAGTTCAACAACTCAGTGGTTTTACCCGCTGCACCACCGGAGGCTCCATAGTATTAATAATAATAATAATAATAATAATATCCGGGGATATTAATCTGGGGAGAGCGCGGATGAGCTCCCTCTATCAGCTCCAGCTCCTCGTGCGAGGACATGAGAGAAGCCTCCTACAAGGATGATAAAACATGAAAAAACAACAACATCTGGGCGTCCCCTGGGCAACGTCCTTTGCAGACAGCCAATTCTCTCACACCAGAAGCGACTTGCAGTTTCCCAAGTCGCTCCTGACATGACAAAAAATATTATTATTATTATGTTTGTTTCAGTCTCTACAGGGATTTTTATTATTATTATTATTTGTTTGTTTCAGTCTCCACAAGAAAACTCAAAGCTTCCATGGGGCTTTCTTGCTGGACCTCTGGCCTCTGTGCCCATGCCCCAAAGGGGTAGTATGGCAACCAATCAGTGTGTTCCATGACTTTCGGTCTCCTTGTGGAGAGAAAAAGTGGGGTATAAACAAACATAAACATAATAATAATAATAATAATAATAATAATAATAATAATAATAAATTGTTCCCCCCTCCCTTCCTCAGGTACACTGGCTGGAACAGCAGGTGGCCAAGCGCCGGAGCAAACGGGATGCCTTCCTGGAGCCTACAGACCCAAAGTTCCCTCAGCAATGGTACCTGGTAAGTGCCCAATACACAAGGAAGGAGGGAAGGAAGGCTCCACCCCAGACTGAGCTGTCCTATTGCATCTGCATGTGGTTTGCTAATTGCACAGAGGCAGAGAAGAAGACATTCCAGTGGGTGACCACTACTGCCTAGCAAATTATGGGTTGGCCTCTCCCCTCTCTGGAAGAGCTTTATAATTACCACTGCCTTCAGAAAGCTCAGAATATTCTTAAAGGTCCATCTTACCCTGGATATTCTTCCTTTTTTTAATTATTACTATCTGGCAGATGGGATAAGATAATAAAAACAAATTGACTGAGAGAGCCTTTACCTCTCTCTCCAGAAGGACGGGAGCAGAATTCAAAACAATCTTAACAGGTTAGAGAGATGATTGGCCAAAACTAACAAAATGAAGTTCAACAGGGACAAATGCAGGATACTCCACTTAGGCAGAAAAAAATGAAATGCAAAGATACAGAATGGGGGACAATGCCTGGCTTGACAGCAGGATGTGTGAAAAAGATCTTGAAGTCCTCGTGGACAGGAAGGTGAACATGAGCCAACAATGTGATGCAGCAGCTAAAAAAAGCTAGTGGGATTTTGTCCTGCTTAAATAGGGGACTGGTGTCTAGGTCCAGGGAAGTCATGCCAACTGTTTTGAGTTTAAATCATTGTTTTATATATTAGTGGTTTTATCTTTTATTGTATTGTGTGCTTATTTTATGTATTGTTCTAGGCACATTGTGCCGTATCTAAGCCGCCCTGAGTCCCTTCAGGGAGATGGAGGTTGGGTACAAAACTAAAGTTATTATTATTATTATTGACACAAAAACACAGTATGTCACAGCAAACGAGATCTATATGCTGGATTTCGTATCACAAAATCACAAGTCGAACACTTCCCAAGCGTCTAGGATCGTGTGATGTATTTTCGAATGATGTGCGCAGATCCAAGTAATGATTTTGTCAATGTTTATTGTTTCCAAATGCCGGCTGAGGCCTTTTGGCACAGCACCAGTGTGCCGATGACCACTGGGACCACCTGTACTGGTTTATGCCAGAGCCTTTGAAGTTCAATTTTGAGGTGTTCATGACGACTGAGTTTTTCCTGTTGTTTTTCATCAATTCGGCTGTCAACTGGTATGGCAATATCAATAATCCAAACTTTTTTCTTTTCCACAATTGTGATATCCGGTGTATTGTGTTCCAAAACTTTGTCAGTCTGGAATCAAAAGTCTCACAGTATTATTATTATTATTATCCCTCTATTCTGACTTAGTTAGACCACTTTACCTGGAATCACACTGTGTCCATTCTGGGCACCGCAGCTCAAGGGAGATGTTGACTCTAAGCTGGAATATGTCTAGAGGAGGGTGACTAAAGTGATCAAGGGTCTGGAGAACAAGCCCTATGAGGAGTGGCTTAAATTGCTGGGCATGTTTAGCCTGAGAAGACAAGGCTGAGAGGAAACATGATAAAGGCCATGTATCAAGATGAGAGGGGAAGTCATAGGGAGGAGGGAGCAGGCTTCCTTTCTGCTGCCCTGGAGACAAGGACACAAAACAATGGCTTCAAGATACAGGAGAGGAGATTCCACCTGAACATGAGGAAGAACTTCCTGACTGTGAGAGAGAACTCTCTGTCCCGGAGTGTGGTGGAGGCTCCTTCTTTGGAAGTTTTTAAACATAGACTGGATGGCCATCTGTTGGAGGTGCTTTGAATGTGATTTTCCTTTTTCTTGGCAGGGGGTTGGACTGGATGGCCCACGAGGTCTCTTCCAACTCTATGATTCTATGATCTCAGATCTGTGACTATATTGAATGATATGGCTTTCCACTGATGTGGCATGAGTGATTAGACTGTAGAAGGGTGGTGTTTTGCTTTACATATATAATATCTTTTGGGGATGGGATTCAATTTCATTGTACAATGTACAATGATAATAAAGTTGTTATATTCTTCTATCCTGCTGCCCTTTCCTGACGTGAGAGTGGCCTTCTACTGTATGGAGAGCGGGGGGGGGGGGATTGCGGGGCCCGGCTGGTGCCCTGATGTGACTGCGGCCGGCTGATCTCTTTTGGCAACTTTAATCACTCCTGCCGTACGGATTAAGCTGAGCTGGTGAGCGAAGCCAAGCCCCCCCCTTCCCTCCCCCCGCCCTCGACAATGTTGCTTTGCTGCTGCCGTGTCCAGAACCACAGAAGAAGGACCGGCTGCCTCTGGACCGGACCAGAYCTGCCTGCTGTGCAGGTCAATGGGAGAAAGAATTAAGCTGTGGGGGAAGTTCAACCTATGCTCTCCCTGGACCTTTGTGGCTAKCTTTTTTGTTGTGTTTTAGTGGTTTTGTATTTTTTTATATATAATATGCTAAAAWTTTTAATCAGGGGTCCTCAAACTAAGGCCCGGGGGCCGGATATGGCCCTCCAAGATCATTTACTCACCCCTCGCTCAGGGTCAACCTAAGTCTGAAACGATTTGACAGCACACAATAACAACAACAATCCTATCTCATCAGCCAAAACAGGCCCGCATTTCCCATTGAAATACTAATAAGTTTATATTTGTTAAAATTGTTCTTCATTTTAATTATTGTATTGTTTTTAAGTGTTTTTTGCACTACAAATTAGATATGTGCAGTGTGCAGTAATTTTTTCAAATTATAATCCGGCCCGCCAATAGTTTGAGGGACTGTGACCTGGCCCTCTGTTTAAAAAGTTTGAGGAGCCCTGGTTTTAATCATTTTCTGTTGGGGCATCGAATTGTTGCCTACTGTAAACTGCCTGGAGTTGCCTTTGGGCTGAAAAGGCGGTATACAAATATCATAAATAAATAAATATAAAATTAAAATTATTGACAATGATCACCTTGGTTCCCTAAAGTCTCACAAGAGAATGGCAGGGTAGAAACTGGATGAATGAGGAAATGAATAAGGAAATAAATATTATCAGTTGCGGTGACTTTCCCGGGCTGTATGATCATGTTCCAGAAGCATTCTCCCCTTACGTTTCACCGACATCTATGGCAGGCATCCTCAAGGTTTTTGTTTTGTATGTGTGTGTGTGTGTCAGGAGCAACTTGAGAAACTTCAAGTTGTTTCTGGTGTGAGATAATTGGCCATCTGCAAAGGGGATGCCTGGATGTTTTGATGTTTTACCATCCTTGTGGGAGGCTTCTCTCATGACTCCACATGAGGAGCTGGAGCTGACAGAGGGGGCTCATCTGCACTCTCCCTGGATTTGAACCTGCAACCTGTCGGTCTTCAGTCCTGCTGGCACAAGGGTTTAACCCATTGTGCCACCGGGGGTTGTGAGGTCTGTTGGAAACTAGACAAGTGAGATTTATATATCTGTGGAATAATGTCCAGCATGGGCGAAAAAACTCTTGCCTTCTTGGAAATGCAGGAAAAGAGATTCTACCTCAACATTAGGAAAAAACTTCATGACAAAGCAATAGAAGCCTTGGAGTTTGGTGGAGTCTCCTTCTCTGGAGGTTCTTTCTCTGCAGAAAGACTCACCTTTTCCCAAGGCTGTTAGTGTTGGGAAATTGCTGTCATCAACATAATCCATTCAAAAGGGGGGAAAGAAACAAAATACTTTTTGTGCCACTTCTAAAGTGTCGCAAGCCACCCCTGCAGCAGGCATATTGGCAAACCTTCAGATTAACAATGGCAAGTTCTTCAAGATCATGAAGAAAGGAAGCAGAGGGAATTGAGTAATTCTTGGAGTGTATGTTGAGGAAACCAGGCAAAGGGTTTGGAGAGAGTGGAAACTGCCAGGCACTCCTGGTCTGTGACCATAATAATAAAATGCATTCATTCGGTCATCTGCCTGCTTTTGTGTCAGATGATGGTGCCCTGGCACGTTGTGGCATTTGGGAGATGCACACACATTGCTGTGGGTTTGGTTTGGGCTGGTTATGCCATTGCTGGGGTGAGCCCTTTGTAAGCCCTTTGTGCGCTAACTTGATTATAGTTGGGTGCCTTCTAGTCAATCCCAGCTTGCAGCCACCCTGTTGGGTTTTCTTGGCAGCATTTGCCAAAAAGGAATCTTGCCAAAACAAAAACAACTCTATGATTGGGACCCCATAGGTGGAATGGTTTGTCTGGCCCCACCTTGTCCTGGTGATCCCTTTTTCCTTATTTATACATCATTTATGCACATAGATGACCTCATAGCCCATAATTGCTGCACCCCGAGTCTGGGCTTAAGCTCCTCATTGTCTCATTTCTCCTAAACATTCCTATAGAATTAACACACTGTTTTTTTTAAAAAAAGGCTTAAGTACACCTTTCAGATCAGATGATAAAACTGATGGCTTATGACTTTTTGCTGACAACTGGAAAATTACCTTTTTTTTTTTTACGGCAACAACACCTTACGTTTATTACTCTTTGTATGAGTATTTTTTTAATCTCAAACTGGCTTTTTATCATGTCAGGAGCAACTTGCAAAACTGCAAGTCGTTTCTGGTGTGAGAGAATTAGCTGTCTGCAAGGACGTTGCTCAGCGGGTGCCTAAATGTTTTACGATCCTGTGGGAGACTTTCCCCATGTCCCTGCATGGGAAGCTGGAGCTGACAGGCGGGAGCTCAACCCGCTCCCCAGATTTGAACCGCCAACCTATCGGTCAGCATTCTTGTCAGCACAAGGGTTCAACCCATTGCACAACCGGGGTCTCCTTTCAAACTGGCTGACTTTATTATTATTATTGTCTTTATTTATGCCCTGCCATTCTCCCTATGGGGAGGCAGCAAACAATCCCACGCTAGACAAGTGCAATACAAAGCCATGAGGAGAGACAGGTAAGAAATAATAATAATAATAATAATAATAATAATAATAATAATAATAATAATTCCCCCCAGGGGTGAGAAAGGCAGTATATAAATACTGTAAATAAATAAATATCATTATTATTATGTTACAAAACAATTAAAAAGTGTCGTAAAAACAGAATTAAAATGCAATAAATACATTTAAAATTGCCTTTAAAACTCATGCAAACCTTTTTCCCCACTTTTTTACTGAAATAATAATACCTTATTTATACCCTGCCCTCTCTCCCTGAAGGGACTCAGGGCAGTTTCCAAAGTATAACAAAAATGGCCAACATTCAATGTCAAGACCAGATAAGCAACAATCAAGACAAAACATAGAATAAAATTAAATAATACTTATAAATATCCACACCTCACCAAGGATAAATTAAGTAAACATAAGTAAAGGTAAAGGCCCCCCTTGACGTTAAGTCTAGTCGTGTCCGACTCTGGGGGCTGGTGCTTATCTCCATTTCTAAGCCAAAGAGCCAGCTTTATCCGTAGACGCCTCCAGGGTCATGTGGCTGACATGACTGCATGGAATGCCATTACCTTCCTGCAGAAGCAGTACCTATCGATCTACTCACATTTGCATGTTTTGGAACTGCTAGGTTGACAGAAGCTGGGCCTAATAGTGGGAGCTCACCCCACTCCCCGGATTCGAACTGCCAACCTTTCAGTCTGCATAACATAAAGTGAACATAATATAACACAAAAGGTCAGACCAATTAAAACACAATACATTAATACATTTAAACCTTAATAATATAATATATAACAACAGTGGGCTTTCAACAAATATATGACCTTGGAAGAGATGGTTCTACTCTTAATGACTCAAACATCTCTTTGGTCCAAGCTTAAGGGTTTTTTTTTTGTTTGGCTTTCTTTGGGTACCAATTTGGTTTTTAATACCAGGATTTCTTGCAGGACAACAGGTGGTATTTGTGTTTGCTTCCTTTATCAGAATTACTACTCAGTACTTATTGCCGTTTTCAAAGTGTTTATCTCCTTCCTAAGACCTACCTTGAAGATGTAGGTTTCTCAGCCCCCTCCCCCCCCCCATCTCGCCCAGCAATCCCAGTTCAGCTGGAATTCTCTCTCAGTAAGTGCCTGCTTGCTCTCCCTCCTCTCTCACCTCCAGTCCAACCCCAACCAGAGGGACCTGAATGTGCAGGAGGCCTGGCAGCAGGGCTACACTGGGCGTGGCGTTGTGGTCTCCATCTTGGACGATGGCATTGAGAAGAACCACCCGGACCTCGAAGCCAATTATGTGAGTTGGAGACCAGGCACCGGAGGGTCCCTCTTCCTGGCAAGCTCAGCTCCAGCATGCACATTCTTCCGCCAGGGGTGGCCTCTCTTGGTGGGGGTGCGGTGGGGCCCTGAGTCTTTGTAGGACGTCCCCCTCCCAGCCCCATAATCCTCCTTGCTCCACACTCAGGAGCAGGAGGAGGCTGTAGCTCTTCATTCTCTGGGAGTGGGGGCTCCAGGGGTCTGCCAAAACCCTAGGGCAGGGCTGGATTTCTGGGTTTGCCAAGGAAAGAGGGGGCAATGGACTCTGCTGTTCTTGCAGGATCCAGCCGCCAGTTATGACGTGAATGACCAGGACTCAGACCCGCAGCCTCGCTACACCCAGATGAATGACAACAGGTGGGGACTGTTGGGCGAGTGGGCTTATTAACAAAAGACCCTCCTCATAAATGCACAACAGAGTAACTTATTAGCAGCAGCATGACCCAGCACCAGTAGCCCAAAGTAATAAAAAGAACAAAAACACACAGACCAATGTTATCTCTTCCAGAGGAGAGTTTTCTTTGTAGAAAAATAATGTGGTTGCACCATTTACAAGAACAATATTTCCATAACACAAATAAAGTTCTTTATACTTCCTTCTTTGCTTCCATGCTGGGCTTCTTTCTCATGCAGATAAACAACTTCGCTCTAACAGAGCCTCCTCTCACACTGAAGTTACACAGGAGCTTCACACAGTAGCTTTTATGCACAGCAGCCTTCACACAGGAGCTTCCTCTCGCTGAAGTTTCTCACACCAGACCTTCACACACTGAGGTCTATCTCACACTGAGGCCTTCTCACACTGAGGGCCCCCTCAGACTGAGGCCTCTCATATACTGAGGTGAATTAACACTGGGGCCTTCTCATACTGAGGCCTACTAACACGCTGAGGCCCTTCTCTCACAGACTGAAAGAACTAAGTTACAGGCACACCTCTTACATTGAACTACAGCTTTTGCTGAGTCATTGCATCCATTTAATGCTTTCAGTACTTGGCTCACATTTTTGTAATTAAAACTACCTAGTTCACTTTTAATATTTCTAACAGGGGCTTGCAGTGGGGTGGAGAGGGCTGTGGGGAAAGCAGAGCATTGTGTCGTACCTCGCCACATGAATGGGATGTGTATGTGTGCATGCATCTATATCTGGGGGAGTATCACCAGCTGCTGGCAAGATGCTGGGACCCCAAATGCTCCCTTGGCCCCACATATTGATGTGCCTTGGTCAGCAGCCCTTCCCTGGCAAGAACGCCATCTTGAAGGGGCAGGGATGCATTTGGGGTGGGCCACCAGGAAGGCCCTCACTGCAAACCTATATGTTCCCTCTGTTTCAGGCACGGCACTCGGTGTGCAGGGGAAGTTGCCGCAGTGGCAAACAATGGCATCTGTGGTGTAGGTGTAGCTTACAATGCCAAGATCGGAGGTAAGTGGCTCACTGGAGGTGGAAGTGGCCGCTCTCCAAGCTCAGTGGGGTGGGAGGAGGAGAGGCCAGTCCCTCTTGACCTTTGGCAGGCCGTAATGAGCACAGTCTCTCACCCTAGGTGTTCGCATGCTGGATGGAGAGGTAACGGACGCCGTGGAAGCCCGATCCTTGGGTCTCAACCCCAACCACATCCACATCTACAGTGCTAGCTGGGGCCCCGAGGATGACGGGAAGACAGTGGATGGCCCAGCCCGGCTGGCTGAAGAGGCTTTTTACCGGGGAGTCAGCCAGGCAAGTCAGAGAGTGGGATCACAGGCAGAAAGGAAGGGCAGTGTGTGCTTATTATTATTATTATTATTATTATTATTATTATTATTATTATTATTATTTAGTATATTTATATACTGCCCCTCTCAGCCTTCCGGCGACTCAAAGCGGTTTACAAGGCAAAAATTCAATGCCATCAAAAACATATACAATATACAGTATATACAATATACAGACACCACTGGCCTTCGATTGCAAAGCCTGATGGTCACTCTCCATGGCCTGTCTGACTTGACCCTCTGTGCTTTTGCAGGGCCGCAACGGTCTGGGCTCCATCTTTGTTTGGGCCTCAGGGAACGGCGGCCGGGAGCACGACAGCTGCAACTGCGACGGCTACACCAACAGCATCTACACGCTCTCCATTAGCAGCACCACCCAGTACGGCAATGTGCCCTGGTACAGCGAGGCCTGCTCCTCCACCCTAGCCACCACCTACAGCAGCGGCAGCCAGAACGAGAAGCAGATTGTGAGTGTCTCTGCCCTGGATCTGGAACGTGTCCGTCCATCCAGCTGTTAGTGCTGCCAAAGTGAAAAATGTCAAGGATTGTTCCAAGAAGGTTCCAGTTGGAACGGAGCTGGAGTGAACCCCTTTTTCAAAGATTAAGTCATCTGGGGGACAGTGTGAGTGGGAGAGACCACTCAGTAGCACTGTGGCCATTCACTCCTGCTTTTCTTTCTCTCCCTCCCTCCCCCCCTCCAGGTGACGACTGACCTGCGCCAGAAATGCACCGAATCGCACACTGGCACCTCCGCTTCTGCCCCACTTGCTGCGGGCATCATTGCCCTTGCTCTGGAGGCCAAGTAAGGGCAGGAGAGGGTGGGGAGGGGGTGGGGCGAGGCCTGTGGGCCTGAGTGGGCATTTGGGTGGCTGGAGAGATGGCTGGCCCCACAGTGACCCGGTTGCTCCTTCTCTGCAGCAAGAACCTCACCTGGCGCGACATGCAGCACCTAGTGGTGCAGACCTCCAAGCCGGCCCACCTGAACACCAACGACTGGGCCACCAACGGTGTGGGGCGGAAAGGTAATGGCGACAGGCCACTGCTTCTGCTGCAAGAGGGAAGAGGAGACATATGTGCCTGTGCAAAAGAAGGGTGAGGGTGGGGGATGTTTGACTGTGCCACTGTGGCAGCTCCTTTTCCTCTTTTTTTTTGTTTAAATCTAAAAAAGCCTATTAAAAAACAGATTTTCTAAAGGTTTCCATGACTGCCAATGTGGAATCATAGCACTACAATTGCATAGTGAATGAATTGACCCGGACTGGACCTTGGACTCTGGATTTTGGATTCTGATTTTAACAGGCGTGTTTTTAATCAATTGTTTAATTACTGTTTTTAATATTTTAATGGATTGCTGATTGTTGATTGTTTTTATGATGTCGGCATCCTATGATGCTTTTGTGAGTCCCCCCTCGGGGGTGAGAAGGGTGGAGTAAAAATATAGGAAATAAATAAATAAATAAATAAATAAATAAATAAATAAATAATAGTGTGACTGACTATTTAGTGGCAGCTCCCAAGGTTTTCAGACCAAGTGATTTTCTCCACGGGGGGCCAGGCTTAGCAAGCAGGCTAAACCGTTGTGCTGCAGAAAAATCCTGTTGATCAAAAGGTCAGCAGTTCGAGCTCAGGTCGAGGTGAGCACCTGCTGTTAGCACCGGCTCACCTGCCCACCTAGCACGTCGAAATCAGAAATGTGAGTAGATAAATAGGTACCGCTTTTACCAGGGAGGTAATCAAGGTGACCTTAAGGATGTTGATTGGAGGAAAGTTCCTTGACATGGAAAATGGAGTGACAGCACCTCTTGTGGTCGGAGTCGAGCACAGCCTACAAGATGCCAGAAATAAGATGGGAACAACTGCCTTTAAGTCTGTTTGTGTTATCTGTTCTTGTTAATTGTACAACTGGCATTGAATGTTTGCAGTATGTGTGTTCTCTAAGCCACTCTGAGTCCTTTTTGGGGTGAGAAGGGCGGGGTATAAATACTGTAAATAAATAAATAAATGTTTCAAAGGTAAGCACAAAAATCCAAAACACTCCTCCCATTCCTGTCTTCTTTGCCTCCCTCTTTGCAGTCAGCCACTCCTACGGCTATGGACTCTTGGACGCCGGCGCCATGGTGGCCCTGGCCAAGAACTGGACCTCAGTTGGGCCTCAGCGGAAGTGCATAATTGACATCCTGACGGAGCCCAGGTGGGTCCCCAGTGAGGAAACGGGTCCCTTCTGAAGGAGTGGGACGAGGCCTTTTACGTTGGGTGTCCTCCCCCTTGAGTGGCTCCTTTGCCCTCTCCTGAGCCCCCAATCTGCCCCACAGGGATATCGGGAAGCGGCTGGAGGTGCGCCAGAAGGTGGATGCCTGCCGAGGGAAGGCCAGCGCCGTTGGGCAGCTGGAGCATGTCCAGGCCCGCCTGACCCTCTCTTACAACCGCCGGGGGGACCTGGCTATCCACCTGGTGAGCCCCATGGGCACCCGGTCCACCCTGCTGGCTGCCAGGTGAGAAGGCTGCTCTTCCATGCTCCCACAATCCTTGGATTCCCCCCACTACCATCAGGGGTCTTCCCCTGCACCCCCCACCCATTGTACCTTGACCCATCCACTCTCCCTCCCTTTTTTCCAGGCCCCACGACTATTCTGCTGACGGCTTCAACGACTGGGCCTTCATGAGCACCCACTCCTGGGATGAGGATCCTGCAGGGGAGTGGGTTCTGGAAATAGAGAACACCAGCGAAGCCAATAATTATGGTAAAGTTGTGCAACCCCCCATATTTATTGCAGAAATGTATAGCAGAAATTAGGCCCCTTGGTGGGTACAGCGGGTTAAACTGCTGAGCTGCTGAACTTGCTGACCGAAAGGTCGGTGGGTCTAATCCAGTGAGCAGGATGTGCTCCTGGAGTTAGCCTCAGCTCCTGCCAACCTAGCAGTTCCAAAACATGCAAATGTGAGTAGATGTATAGGTACTGCTTCAGCGGGAAGGTAACGCCATTCCATGCAGTCATGCCAGCCATATGACCTTGGAGGTGTGCCAGCCATATGACCTTGGACAATGCCGGCTCTTCGGTTTAGAAATGGAAGTGAGCACCACCCGCCAGTGTGGGACACGACTAGACTTAATGTCAGGGAAAACTTTTACCTTTTATAGCAGAAATTACATTGTTGATCAAGATGAAGATGAAGTATTTTTGCTCCCAACCCCAAATCTACACACAAACATAAACACATACACTTTTGAACAGTCCCTACAATAATTGTCCGCCATGAATACTATTCTCTCTGCCCACCCATCCCTTTGCAGTGACCTCACATCCATATTTTATTTTATTTTATTTATTTATTTATTTATTTATTTAGAACATTTATACGTTGTCCTTCTCAATCTCCAAAGAGGGATTCAGGACGGGTATAATAACATAATATATAATATAATAACATAAAATACAAAACAGCAGAATCTTTTAAGCACATCCAGGAAAGGACCTGCGGATGGGGTGCGATGGGGGCTCATGATCAGCTGCGATGGCTTCCGGCGGCTTAATTTCCCTCCTTGTCTTGCAGGAACCCTCACCAAGTTCACGCTGGTCCTGTACGGGACGGCTACGGAGCCCCCGGGCCTCTCCAACCAGTTTGAGAGCAGCGGCTGCAAAACCCTTGCGACCGGTCAGGCCTGTGTGGGTGAGTTTGGGAGGAGAGACAGAGGAGGAAGGAACAGCACTATTAGCCTTGGAGGGGTGGGCCTCAAACAGGCAGGCCTCCGGGTGGAGACATCCTCATCTCTGCATTCAGCAGAGGTGTCCAGACAGGCCTTCTTGGGAAGGAAACTCTTTGGTTGCCTTCCACCTGTTGATAACTGGAAGAGGAGGAGGAGGGGGGAAGGGTGGGGAGGGAAGCTCCTTGTTAGTGAAGGAGCTTGTTAGTGCATGGGGCGGGGGTCATCCTTTCCAGCCCCTCCTCCAAGCTGCTCTTTTGCCATAGATGGGAGGGCTTTTTCCTGCACTGCTGGTACAGCATTCCTGCTCAGCTATGGGAGCAGTGGGTTAAACCGCTGAGCTGCTGAACTTGCTAACCGAAAGGTTGGTGGGTTGTTTTAGGTTTTTTCGGGCTATATGGCCATGTTCTAGAGGCATTCTCTCCTGACGTTTCGCCTGCATCTATGGCAAGCATCCTCAGAGGTAGTGAGGTTGGTTCGAATCCAGGGAGTGGGGTGAGCTCCCACTGTTAGGTCCAGCTTCTGCTAACCTAGCAGTTCGAAAACATGCAAATGTGAGTAGATCAATAGGTACTGCTGCGGCGGGAAGGTAACGGCGCTCCATGCAGTCATGCCGGCCACATGACCTTGGAGGTGTCTATGGACAATGCCGGCTCTTTGGCTTAGAAATAGAGATGAGCACCACCCCCCAGAGTCGGACACAACTGTAATTAATATCAGGGCAGTGCATCAGCCCCCAGAGAAGAAGTGCAGAAGTCCCCCTTGTGTTCAAGATCTTCTCCCTCTCCTTCTAGGGGTTGGGCCTTTCCCTTGACCCTCATCCTAACCCTCATCCTCACCCTCATCTTCTTCTTTGTTGCAGTGTGCGAAGAGGGCTTCTTCCTCCACCAGAAGAGCTGCCTGAAGGCCTGCCCACCCGGCTTTGCTCCGGGTCCACCACCTCCAACGGCCCCCCTGGAGAACAGCCTGGGCCCCCACCTGCGACCGCTGCTCTGCCTGCCCTGCCACCCCTCCTGCGCCACCTGCCTGGGGCCCGGGGCCACCCAGTGCCTCTCCTGCCCAGTGCACGCCCATTACAACAGCCAGGAGCAGAGCTGCTCTCACCAGACCCAGAGCAGCCGAGCCTCTCCTGCATTGGGAGCCAATGGCGAAGGCGGGGCGTCGGCATCCCTGGCTGGAGGGAACTCCAACCTCCCGGTCCTGGTGGCCAGCCTGAGCTGCTTCTTCATCGTCCTGGTCTTCGTCACGGTCTTCCTGGTGCTGCAGCTGCGCTCCGGCCTGCGCCTGCGTGGGGTCAAGGTCTACTCGCTGGAGAGCGGCGGCATCATCGCCTACAAGGGCCTGCCTTCGGACGCCTGGCTGGAGGAAGAGGAGGAGGAGGAGAACGACGACCACCGGGGCGGCGAGCGGACTGCCTTCATCAGAGACCAAAGTGCCCTTTGATGAGCCCGCACCCCCTGGAGCGTCAGGGGCAGGAAGAGGAAGGCGGGGACGGAGCTGTGCGGACGGAGTCTCTTCCCCCGCGGCCCTTGGCTCCCCTTCACTCTTCCACGAGAGAGCTGGACTTGGGTCCAGTTAGCGGAGGGGTGGCACTCTCGCTTCCTGGCTCTGGTTTGAACTCGCCAAAGTGATTTTTCTACACAGAACCAGTTTGCCCCACTGCTGGTGGTAGCGATGGGGTGGAGGCGGGGCCGAGGAAGTCCCTCCTCCTTCCATGGCCCCTGCCCCACTATTGGCATTGGCCAAGCCCCCTCCTTCCCTCTGCGCCAGCCTTGTACCAGGCAGCCTGAGGGGCCCCCTCTTTCGGAGGCCCCTTCCCAGCCTTCTCCTTGCCTCGCCAGACTTGCCCTGTGCAATAGAGTGGGGCTCCTCTTCAAGGGGCTTCGGGAGGGAGGAAGGGTGGGGGCCACGGAGCCTTTCCACTGCCTCCTGTTGTGCCGCCGCTGCCGCTGCCGCCACTACTGCTGCTGCTAGGGGCCTTCCTTCTTCCCTCCCTCCCTCCCTCACTCTGTCGTTGCTGCCTCTCCTCCAAGGACGACGACAACAACAACATGGCCGCTCGCTTGCCCCCGAGCTGCCCCTTCCCCAGTGCCCCCTGGATCCACCCAAAGTCACTGGAGCTTCCACCTGTCCTCATGTGCCTTGTTGCCCCCTCCTCTCGGATGACAATCGGATGTGGTCCTGGCGCCTGACCGCTTGACCGCCCGCCCGCCTTCCTTCCCCATCCCGCCGGTGCCCCTCCCTCCCTCCTCTCCTCCCTCCCTCCCTTCTGTGGGGCAGGAGGGGGGGCACCTGAGGGAGGGGAGTTGGGAGGGAGGGCGGGAAGGGGGTCGGGGCAGAACGGGCTGTGGCCCAGGACTCCTTTTTCTATAATAACTCTTTTGGTGCACAAATTATTTCTTGTAATTTAAAACAAGGAGCCAATTCCTGTGGCCAGTGTTTTTTTAATTTAATGGATGTGGATATAACGCTAGAGAGATTAAAAGTTTATTAAATGTTGGAACTATGCAAAACATGCTTCCTCTGGCTGTGTTTTCTGGGTTTGTGGGGAGGAATGCACATGTGGGATACATGGTACATGGGCAGGCAGGCAGGGATGAGATTCTTTCTCTTGGTGGCCTGCCTGTGGCCACAAAAGTGACCACAGAGGAATTCGGATGGTATCTTCAGGCATCATTGTTTCTGAGTCACCTTTTGGCTTCCATTGGCAATAGGAGCCCCCGGTGGCACAGTGGGTTAAACCTCTGAGCTGCTGAGCTTGGTGACCAAAAAGTCGCAGGTTCCATTCCGGGGAGCGATGTGAGCTTCCGCTGTCAGCCCTAGCTTCTGGCAACCTAGCAGTTCGAAAACATGCAAATGTGAGTAGATCAATAGGTACCACTCTGGCGGGAAGGTACCAGTGCTCCATGCAGTCATGCCGGCCACATGACCTTGGAGGTGTCTATGGACAACGCCGGCTCTTCAGCTTAGAAATTGAGATGAGCACCAACCCCCACAGTCAGACATGACTGGACTTAATGTCAGGGGACAACCTTTACCTTTTTACCTGGCAATGCTAACGCAATCTAAGCAAAGGAGAGGAATGGCTAATTTTGCCTAAGGAATGACACACACACACACACACACACACATTGGGACATGGCTCCAAACAGTCCAGAGTTGAGGACATGTCATAGCTGCCAGGGAATCCTTTAGGCCTGGAACCTTGCAAGGTGGGTGCAAAACCAGCCCTGATGGGACCTGGGGCAACTCCAGTAGGGTCTCGCTTATCCAGAGGAACGGAGGAACGTTGGATAAGCAAAAATGTTGGATAATAAGGAAGGATTAAGGAAAATTGTCGAGGGCTTTCATGGCTGGAATCACTGGGTTGTTGTAGGTTTTTTGGGCTATATGGCCATGTTCTAGAAGCATTATCTCCTGACTTTTTGCCTGCATCTATGGCAAGCATACCTCAGGCCCTTTCCTTTTCCCCCTCAGCCGCTTAAGTGGCTAAGGGGGAAAAGGAAGGGGCCTGAGGTTGTTAGGAATGGTGGGAGTTGAAGTCCAAAGCATCTAGAGGGCCAAATTTGGATCAGGCTTAGTCTACACTGTCACATACTCCAGTTCAAAACAGTTTAAGCTGCTGAGGGAGAAAAGGAAAGGGCCTGAGGCTGTTAGGAATTGTGGGAGTTGAAGTCCAAAACACCTAGAGGGCCCACGCTTGCCTAGGACCTGAGGTATGCCATAGATGCAGGCAAAACGTCAGGAGAGAATGCTTCTAGAACATGGCCACGTAGCTCAAAAAACCTACAACGACCCACCAATTAAGAAAAAGCCTAGTAAACATCAAATTACGTTATGATTGTACAAATTAAGCACCAAAACATCATGTTTTACAACAAACCGACAAACAAAGCAGTTCAGTACACGGTAACATAATGCAGTGATTACTGTATTTACAAATTTAGCACCAAAATATTGCAATGTATTTAAACAGTTATGGATCCGGGTGAGAGGAAGACTGTTGGATGAGCAAAGGTTGGATAAACGAGACCCTGCTGTATATTTGTAGACTGAGCCACAGATTCCTCGCTCTACTTTTCAGTGATAGACCAGCTTGCAATTGTGGGAAGAACCATGGTGGAAGTTAGCAACAATGACATATTGCAAATACGGTGGTCCTCTTACAGCCAGTGATGGTGCTGCTAGCTCTAAGAGGCCATGTTTGTGTCCCCCTCCACCCACATCCAATGAACGCACCCTTCACACGCGCGCGCACACACAACCTGGATTGTTGTAGGTTTTTCCGGGCTATATGGCCATGTTCTAGAGGCATTTTCTCCTGACATTTCACCTGCATCCATGGCAAGCATCCTCAGAGGTAGTGAGGTTCAGTACTTTGATGGGTCAACAAATACCCTAATGCAGTGGTTCTCAACCTTTCTAATGCCGCGACCCCTTAGTACAGGTCCTCATGTTGTGGTGACCCCCAACCATAAAATTATTTTCATTGCTACTTCATAACTGTAATTTTGCTACTGTTATGAATTGTAATGTAAATATCTGATATGCAGGATGTATTTTCAGTCACTGGACCAAATTTGGCACAAATACCCAATACCCAAATTTGAATACTGGTGGGGTTGGGGATTGATTTTGTCATTTGGGAGTTGTAGTTGCTGGGATTTATAGGATAACCTACAATCAAAGAGCATTCTGAACTCCACCAAATGGAATTGAACCAAACTTGGCACACAGAACTCCCATGGTCAATAGAAAATACTAGAAGGGTTTGGTGGGCTGACCTTGAGTTTTGGAGTTGTAGTTCACCTACATCCAGAGAACACTGTGGACTCAAGCAATGATGGATCTGGATCAAACTTGGCACAAATACTCAATATGCCCAAATGAGAACACTGGTAGAGTTTGGAGAAAATAGACCTTGCCATTTGGGAGTTGGGATTGTTGGGATTTATAGTTCACCCACAATGAAATAGCATTCTGAACCCCACCAATGATAGAATTGGACCAAACTTCCACACAGAACCCCCATGACCAACAGAAAATACTATGTTTTCTGATGGTCTTTGGCGACCCCTCTGACACCCCCTCGCGACCCACACAGGGGTCCCGACCCCCAGGTTGAGAAACACTGCTCTAGAACATGGCCATATAGCCCGAAAACCTACAACAACCCAGTGATTCCGGCCATGAAAGCCTTTGACAACCTGGATTCTCCCCATAGGCACCTAGTTGGCGATGAAGCAAAGAGAGGGGCAACTATCCAACTAATAAATCAATAGCAGGACACGTACGGCCTAGCAACGTCAGAGAGCGTGGTTGCATTTTGAACTCTGTTTGCAGCATTTGAGGTAAGCTGAGGACAAAAGGAGAAGAGGAGGGGAAACCGATACATTTGAAAGGCTGAGAGTGAAAGGGTTGGAAAGTCTGGCAAGGTGGGCTTGGGTCTCCCAGGAGCTTCTTGAGGGGAGAAAAGGCGAAGGCCGGCCTATCTATATCTCTCCCTCCCTCACTCAGGGCCTGCTTGCAACTTTTAGGAGTGGAAGCCAAACCCAGAGCAGGAAGGGGGAATCTTGCAATGCCGGGAGAGCTTCCTGTTCCTCTTTAGGGCCAGGCTGCACAGAGGCAAGAAAGAGCAGCACCCAAGGATGGGCAGCAAGGTATGGCCCTCCTCTGCAAGTGGGATGTGGAGAGCGAGCATGGGAATTGCATGCAGGAGGGCTTTATGGGGGAGGAATGGGGTTGTCCTGCAGTTGGACGGTCCAGAGGTCCCCTCTCTACTTCCTCCAAGACAACAACACCCTGTGCTCCTTCTCTGTAGGGCAGGTTTAGCAGGGGAAGGGGAGGGTGGAGTGACCCTGACCAGCCAATACATCCACTAAGCTGTAAAAGGGGGTGAGGGATGCCTGTTTGAACCCAGTCCCTTGCAAAGGTTTCTTGGGTGATGCATGCTTTAGGGAACTGCTCCAGCTCTGATGGAGAAGCACCGACCACAGCTGCAGAAGGAAGGCAGAAGAGGGGGAAGTGGGGAGCAGCCAGAGGTGAGATGGGGCTTTGAGTCAGGAAGGAATAAATAAAGGGCTGCCGTCTGCACCCTTCTCCCCAATTTTCCATGCCCTGACCACCTTTCCTGAGCAGCCAGAGGTGAGATGGGGCTTTGAGTCAGGAAGGAATAAAGAAAGGGCTGCCATCTGCACCCTTCTCCCCAATTTTCCACGCCCTGACCCTCTTTCCCTTACCCCCATTGTAGGAAAGGGACCGTGCCAATGCAGTAGGGCCAGCAGTGCCTGGCTTTGGCCCACAACTGGGCTGCTCCGAGGGCCACGCCGCCCTCCTGCAACTGCAAGATGTGGAGCTGCGGCTCTTGGAAGGGCTGCGCAAGTGGATGGGGCAGCGGGCCAAAAGCGACCGGGAGTACGCGGCCCTCCTGCACCAGATGCACAGCCTGGCCGGGAAGCAGGAGAGCAGTGGGGCGGCGCTGAGCAGCAGCCAAGTCAGCCAGGTGAGCAAGCGGCAAGGCATGGCTGCCAGCAAAGGGCCGGGCAGTGGGGACAGATCCTCTTTGCTGGGGCCCACGCATCCAGGGTGAACCAGTCACTCTCCATGCCCCCATTCCCACTTGGCTTCCTCCTTGCAGTGCTGGTGGTCGCTGGTGACCCAGACGGAGGCCCTGAGCCAGATCCTGCAGCGCCACGCGGGGTCCGTGCTCTTGGGGCCCCTCCACCGCCTGGGCCTCCTCATCCAGAACAAGCAGCAGCTCCGCCGGACCTACAGCGAACAGTGGCAGCAGATGAGCCAGGATTTCAACCGGGTATGGGCCCCTAGCTCTCCCCCACCTCCCATTCCGTTGTGACAATACATGGATCTCAATTCAAGAGTTCTCCTGGTGTTTTGGACTTCAACATTCAAAAGTCTCCCCTCCAATGGACAAGGATTCTGGGAGCTGGAGTCTGTCTGATCTGGAGGGCCAAGGGCTACTGGATGTTTGGGGGTGGGCAGGTGAGGCAGGGACGTGGGGAAGCCATTCCCGCCTCCTGAGGTCAATGGGACAGCCAGTCTCAAGCAGTGACAGGCCAAGCTGGCTTCCAAAGGGCCACCTTTCTTTCTGCAGACCACACAGCAGGAGCCCGAGCGCCTGAGGGCCCAATATCGCAGCCAGGTCCGGGAGAGCGCCCAGGCCAGGCGCAAGTACCAGGAGGCCAGCAAAGGTAAGTGCGGGGGGGGGGGCGAGGGGGGTGACCAGCACACCCAAGGCAAGGCAAAGGGCAAGGCAAGGCAAGGTAAAAGGTAAGGCAAAAGGCAAAGCAAGGCAAAAACAAGGCAGCCAGGCCCCCAGGTGGTCAGTTCGGCTTGCAGGCAACCTATGGGCACTACAGCCTCTGATCCAGAAGGCAGCACAAGGCCAGTGTGGCTAGTGGTCACTGATAGCCCTTCCTTCAGGCATTGTTAATCGAATTGCCTTTTGAAGCTCTTATAATAATAATAATAATAATAATAATAATAATAATAATAATAATAATAATAATCTTTATTTTTACCCCACTCCATCTCCCCCAAGGGGACTTGGTGCGGCTTACATAAGGCTACGCCCGTCGATACAATACAAACAATATAACACAAAAACATAGTAAAACCAAACAGAATACAAAAAAATGCAAAATCAATATAATATACGACAACAATATAATATCAAGCAATAAAAACACAAAAAATTCACTAGGCAGGGCCAGATTAAAGGATAAATTTATAAAAAAATTAAAACACTGGGAGATAGGACAGTGTAAGTTATAAGTAGGAGGGTCCAGGAATGAGGAAGGATTTCATTGCACAAACCATAAAATAAAGCGCTTCTAAGGACATTTTGTGCAAAGTGTGGTCAGGGAGGATCTTAAATTCAATCACTGAAGGCACATTGGAATAACCAGGTTTTCAGATTCCTCCTGAAGATTGCCAGTGTGGGGGCTTGCCTAATATCTCTTCCCTTTCTGCTGTATTTTGGATTTGGGTCCTTTTTGTTGCTCATTGTGGCACCTTCTAAAGCAGGCATGGGGTAATTTCGGCTCTCCTTTCATGTGTTTTGGACTTAAATTCCCACAGTTCCTAACAGCCAGTAAGATYCCTGGGATTTCTGGGAGTTGAAGGTCAAAATACTTGGAGGGAAGACTGAAGTTGGCCCATGCCTGTTCTAAATTAATGTGGCTCCTCCTMCTCTGCAATGTCTGACATCCCTGAGTCCCTGCTGCTGGGCTTAGGACCCTCATTTCCCCGGCAGGATGGGGCACAATGTGGAGTGGATGGTGCCCAATCCATCTGTGCTTTCTCTTGTGCCACTTTCCCCGCAGAGAAGGACCGRGAGAAGGCCAAGGACAGATACGTCCGGAGCCTCTGGAAGCTCTACTCCCTCCACAACCAGTARGTTTTGGCGCTGAAGGCGGCGGAGGTGCAGCACGAGACACACTACCAGCAGACCCTGCCGGGGGCGCTCCAGTCCTTGCACGCCTTGCACCAGGAGATGGTCCACCTCACGTAAGGCACCACAGCCAAAGATGGGAGCGTTCACCTCTTCCGTACTGCAAAACGCTGCCAAGGCAGGGGATGTACTGGCATAATGTCAACAAAGAGTAAAAGGAAAGGGAGTGTGGCCTCAATGGGGATTAGTATACAGCCCACAGATGTAAAGCATAATCAGGCTTTTAAGGGAAATTTACTATTTGTGCTTCCAACGTAATTTTTGAATCATCCCTTCCTTGATGTCAGTCTCCCAATCTGTCCATACAAGTAAGACTCATTGAGTTGTGTGAGCCCTCTGGTAAGTGGTAAGTTATGGTTAAGGACCACAGATTTGTTATCCATATCATCTGGCATTCAGTATTGCAGTTATGGATCTATAATGAAGGGTCACAGATCTGTAGCAAAGGTAAAAGTTTCCCCTGACATTAAGTCTAGTCGTGTCCAACTCTGGGGTGTGGTTCTCATCTACATTTCTAAGCCGAAGAGCCTGCATTGTCCGTAGACACCCCCAAGGTCATGTGGTCACCATGACTTCATGGAGCACTGTTACCTTCCCACCAGAGCAGTTTCTATTGATCTACTCACATTTGCATGTTTTTTAACTGCTAGGTTGGGAGAAGCTGGGGCTAAAAGTGGGAGCTCACCCCGCTCTCTGGATTTGAACCACCGACCTTTTGGTCAGCAAGTTCAACAGCTCAGTTGTTAAACCCACTGCACCACTAGGGAGCCCAGCCACAGATCGGTAACTGATCTTTATTCACTATCACTGAGTCGTCCTTACTACGTAGAGCCCCCTTCACCTCTCCTCACACTCTGTCAACAGGAAGGTCACCTTGCAGGAATATGCTAGCATCACCAGCCTGGTGCAGGAGGAGATGGTGACGGTGCACCAGGCCATGGTCAGAGCCATCGACCGCATCCAGCCAGCCACCGAGTACCAAGGGTTCCTCCCTTCTTGCAAGTACGTCCCCTGCTGAACTCTCCCTTCTCCTGCCACTGCCCTGGGCCTCAGGTACTCCCTTTGGCACCCCCACCGCACCCCCCTCTCTCTCTCTTCAGGTGCGGGAGTGAATTCCCCGTCACGGTCAGCTTTGACGAGAGCCTGTTGGAGGAGGCTGAGATGGAGGGCCTGGAAGCTGGGGAGCTGCAGCTGAATGAACTCACGGTGGAGAGCATGCAGCACAGGTGAGCCAAGCAGAGGGGAGGGGGCTACAGGGGGGCCACCAGGGAGGACCCCTTCCAGATCCTCCCTCAGAGCTCCTCAGTCTCCAGGGCTCTGGGAGGAGGCTCTGGCTTGGTCTTCCCCAAATGCTGGGGTCCCAGTGCTTTCTCCGTGGGTCTGCAATTTGATTTGTAACTTCAAGGCTCCTGTTGGCTCCAAGTCGATGCTAACAAGTACATATTCCCCGAGATTAAACCTGTTTCCCCAACCAGGGCAGGATTTCCTCAGAGATAAGTGGAAATCCTCACAGAAGGGCCGTAGGAGCTTGCCCTTCTGTGACCAATCGCAAAATCAAGCATGCCAAATGCGGAGATGGTGAAAACCAAATGCTGTGACACACAGCTCTCCCCTCCCTGAAGGAACGTTTTGCAACCTTATTGTTGTCAAGCAATTTAGAGTGGCTGTGGACAGCAAGATCCAAGCCATTGTGGGTTGCCTGGTGAGAAAAGAAGCCAGTATTCCAGAATAAATCTCACCAAGTTGAAGACAAAGCCACCAAGGTTCTTATTCTTTCCAGCTGGAAAGGATGATGATTGCAGTAGCCTACCAACAAAATCAACATGCCCATTGGGCAGAGAGATACAATATTTATAGCCTTCAGATTCAAAAGTTCCCATGCCCACCAACCCCGAGTTGGCATTGTTATGATTGGCTGTAATTTCAGCAAGCCAGCAGGAGAGCCAATGGTGGCCTGAGTCCTGCTTTGGCCGCTCAGCCAATGAGGGGGAAGGGAGGCGGGCAACAGGGAAACAAATTAAGAAATGTCTAGTTGTCAGGATTAGGGTGACCAGTGTTTGCCAAACGACCCAACGATAGCTTAAGCCCTCAAGTCAGATCAGAGTTATTGTTTTATTCCTTTGAATCATCATCATTATCAAGGGACTTCCTGAGCCATGAGAGTTGCTGGTTTTATGAAACAGTGGGTTTTCCTTCATATTTTCATATAAATACACATAGGGGATGGGGAATGGGGCAAGGAAACATACAAGGAATTCATAGGAAGAAAGGGGGAATCATGCAGGGTCTAAGGGAAAGTCACGTCAGCCCCCCAAAGTCCATAAAAGTTCATAAAGTTTGGCAAGAGTTTATAAAAGTTCATGAAAGTTCATGGAAAGTTCATAAGAGTTGGGCCATGGAAAAAGCCTTAGGTTCTTACATGTGGGAGAGATAGGGGATTATGGGATCATTCCAGCCTGGTGTCCTTGGCAAAACTATGAATTCCCTGATTTTTAACTATCTTTTACAGAGTCCTGGGGGGGGGGGGTCACTTCCAATCTCATTATCACATGGTGAATTTGCCCATCCTATGACACTTTAATCTTAGTTCAGGGACGGAGCCCACCAGATCCCATAAAAGGACTACATCTACATCCAACAGGGTTCTGTCCCTAAACTGAGGTGAAGGTGTCGTAAGAGAGAGCAATGAGAACACAGGAGGCTTCCCATGTTCTCCTTGAGAAGGACAGGGGGAAGCTTGGCGGTGATGCTTCGTTCCATGGGATATGTCAGAAGTGATGTAGGGCATGCAGGGCACAGAGTGATGGGTTTCGCACTCTGCCCATTGGAATTGTCATTATGCATGGTGAATGCCCCCACTATGTGGACCTTAACGTGATGCGGTCCTTGGTCTGGTCTGGCCTTGCTCTGGGCTCAGCCTTGCTGGTCTCTTTGCTCCCACGAAGGAGCCTGATTCTCCCTCACCCTGCCACTCTGCCTCAATCCTGCAGCCTAACTTCCCTGGAAGAAGAGCTGGCCTCTGCCGCAGACAACACCCATGAACACCACCAGCGCGTCCAGGCCCTGAAGGCGGAAATCCAGTGTGAAGAGGCAGCGGGAAACCAAGAGGAGCGGTGAGGCCACCGACTGAGGCTGAACATGGTCTGAACACGGGCCAGTTTTTACTGGACTTCCAAGTGTCAGGGCTGATGGGCAAAAGGGCCACAGGGTGAAGAGAGCTGAGAGCTTTGCCTTTGCTCCACTCCAAATTGCAACAGTGCTGGGTAAAAGGGGTCCCGTTCACACAAACGAAAGCAGAAACACAGCAAAGAAGCCATGGATCAAAGGCAACTGGGTGCTCCTGGCATAGCCTTTCCTGCCTCTTTTTTGGTGCTGCTTTGGTAATTTGCTGACCCATATCTAGCTGGTGTCTCGTCTTGTTCACCTGGGACAGGCTGAGCTTGGGCATGTTCCCGTTTAAAGGGCCACTCCCCGGAACCCCCTGCAGCAGGGCTGGTTCTAGCCTGGGGTTTCATGTGGCCCGCGGAGCCCCAGAGACCATGGCTGCTCCGTCCTCTCTTTGCACAGGATGCTGCTGCTGGGTCGCCGCCTGGCACTGCACGAAGCTTGGCACCTCCACCGACTGGCCCAGGGCCACCAGGCCAAGCTCCAGGCTCAGAGGGATCTGCTGCGGCAGAAGCTGGAGGCGCTAGGAGACAGAGACCCCCCTCCTGCCCCGGCCCTGCAGGACGACAGCCAGCCCCCTGCCTCCCCTCCAGAGGTGTGCGCGAGGGAGTGGGATTGGGGACTGTTGTTGAGCAAGTGGGCTTAATAACAAAATACCCTCTCCATAAATGTACAGCAGAGTAACTTATCAGTAGTGGCTACTCTGGGTGGCAGCTGGGGACATCCACTGCTTTTTCCACCCCAATTGCAGCCCCCAACCCTGATCCCCCTCTTCCATCTCTGCCAGGATCCTGGTCGCGACGGGGGGCGTCTGCCGGCCTTGGAGGCCTTGAAGCACCACTTTGCAGGCATCTTCCGCCCAAGGGTCTCGGTGAGCCCCCCTCCCACCCCCAATTATGGTTCCTCCACAGGGGAGGGGCAACTCGAAATGGGAAGGGGCCCTGGGGAGCTTCTGCCCCTCTATGGATTGTATTGTCGAAGGCTTTCATTGCCGAAATCACTGGGATGTTGTGTGGTTTCCGGGCTGTATGGTTAATATGTTCTAGCAGCATTTTCTTCTTTTTCTGTTTGGTCTACATCTGTGGCTGGCATCTTCAGAGGTTCTGATGGTGGTAAACCAAGTGAAGCATATATTATACCTGTGGAATGTCCAGAGTGGGAGAAAGAACCAATTTATTTATTTACCATATTCATATACCGCTCCTCTCAGCCCAGAGGTGACTCGGAGCAGTTTACAAGTGGCAACAATTCGATGCCTCAACAGTAATAACAATTAAAAACTATAACAATCATAAAAACTATTTAAAACATTAACATACAATATAAAAATGTAAAACTGTACAAGCCTTAAAACATTGTCATGGGCGTCTCCATATTGAGTCATTATTCAATTGCGTCATCAAGTAATTCCATTATTTCGTATAACTATGCCATATTTGGGAAGGCCTGCTCAAAAAGCCAGGCTCTCACCTTTCTTCAAAAAGTCAAGATTGAGGGACCTGATCTTATATCCTTAGGCAAGGCGTTCCACAGTCAAGCGGCCACCGCTGAGAAGGCCCTGTCTCTCGTCCCCACCAAACACATCTGTGAGGAAGGTGGGAGCGAGAGCAGGGCCTCCCCAGAAATCTTAATGTCCTGGATGGCTTATAAGGAGAGATACATTTGGATAGGTAAGTTGGACCGAAACCAATGTCTGTTAACCAAGTGTAAAGGGTGCAATTAGCAAACTAGGTGCGCAAGTGTTTGAGTGGGATCAATCTATTAGCATGTGAGTAACCATGAAGATTGCATAGTCCATTAGTGAGGGGCATCTGCTTGGAAGTAGCCTCACTTTTGTTCCCTTTGAATTGCTTTCTTCCTGGAGACTTCCTGTGTCTAGGTGGCGTTCATTAGTCCCTGACTTGATTCTGGTGTTTTTCAATACTGGCTCTTCCTTGAACCCTGGACATTATTCCACAGGTATATTATATACTCCACTTGCTTGACTACCAGCAGATCTTCGGAAGATGCCAGCCACAGGTGCAGGCAAAACGTCAGAAGAAAATGTTGCTAGAATACGGCCATACAACCCGGAAACCACACAACAACACCCCAGGAACGTGGGTTGTTTGCCATCTGGGAAGGTTGCCTGAAATACCCTTCTCCGCACACCCCCTCCCCGCAGCTGCCGCCCCCATTACCGATGCTACCTGAGGAACAGAAACCCCTGGGCCAGCAGGCCTGGTACCACGGCGCCGTCCCCCGGGAGGAGGTCCAGAGCCTCTTGCGAGAGAGCGGGGACTTCCTGGTGCGAGAGAGCCAGGGCAAGCGGGAGTTCGTCCTCTCGGTGCTGTGGGACGGGCAGCCTCGGCACTTCATCCTCCAGGCCACCGGTGACGTGAGTGACCTGCTGACCGTTCCTCCTGTCTTAGGAGGCAACAGCAAAAGGCAGGAGGGTCAGGGAAGGTGCTTGGGCAAGGCTAGCCAAACAAAGGCTTCCCCAGGACATAAGGGCAGGTGTTTGGCCAAGGAACCCCCCAGCAGCACAACAGGAGATGGGCAAGACTGGACCCCTGCCATGGGTTTTGTGGGAGACAGGAGTGCCCCCTCCCCCACACTTTCAGGACCTGAATTGTCCTGCTCCCTCTTTGAATTTAGCTCTTTGTTTATGGGAGAGATTCCAATCCAATGAGAAAAGGGTCAAGCCCCCAAAATTGCCAAGGGCTCCTTGCACATCAGCCCTGACCCCATCTCCCCCAACAGCCTCATTGCCCTACTCTTGATGTCTCTGGTGCCCCCTTCCCTACTGCAGAACATGTACCGCCTGGAAGGAGAAGCATTTCCTAGCATCCCTCTGATGATCAACCACTTCCTGAAGGCCAAGCAGCCCATCACCAAGAAGAGCGGCATTGTCCTGGGCAAGCCAATTGTGAAGGTACCGGTCTGGGGAGTGACTGGATGGTTGCAGGGAGGGGAGGGGGGTTGGTCAGCCTGATGTCCTCCCACCCTGAGACTGTCCACTCTCCCTCCAGGACAAATGGGTGCTTGATCACGAGGATGTCCTGCTTGGGGAACGCATTGGGCAGGTGAGTGGCCCCTGACAATAATGGCAGCACTTGGAGGGTTTTCCTTTCTCTTGGGTCGGGTCCCACAGTGCAGGCATGCAGTTGTCATTTATTAGGGGGGCCTTGGGCAGCTCCTTCGGGGTCCCTGAAGGGATCCAGGTGTGCTGTTCAACAGGACAGGCATCCAACTAAGCATGGTTTTTAATCACCGTTTTTATGTTTATATGATTTTTAATTTTATATTATGAATGCGTATGTTTATTTTATTATTTGTTGTTTGATAAGGCATTGAAGTGTTGCCTATTGTAAGAGTGGGGTACAAATGCGGGAAAGAAAGAAAGAAAGAAAGAAAGAGAGAGAAAGAGAGAAAGAGATAACCAATGTTATCTCTTCCATAGGAGGCTTTTCTTTGTAGCAAAATAATATGGACGCATGATTTACAAAAATAAGGTTTCCATAACACAAATAAACAAATACATAGTAGCTTTACACACAGCAACCTTCACACTGGAGCTTTCTCACACAAGGCTTCTCTCACACAGAGGTTTACCTCACACTCTTCAGGATGACACTAGCTTTGGCCCACTGACACTAACAGGTTTTGACCTACTAACTCTTTCAGTGCTTGACTCACACTTTTATAATTGTGAGTTAATTTTTAATATTTCTACTGCAAGGCCACCCTGAGTCCCTTTTGGGGTGAGAAGGACTATGTACAAATGTGGTAAATAAATAAACAGGACATGCAGTGGCCTTCAGGACGCCATGGGGCTCAGTTTTCCTGGGGACCCCTTCTTCCTGGAAATGGGGGGAGGAAGGGGAACAGAGTGTGCCCTGGTCCCTTTCTTCCTTTCTTCCTTCCACAGGGCAACTTTGGGGAGGTGTTCAGTGGTCGATTGCGTAACGACAACACTCCAGTGGCAGTGAAGTCCTGCCGTGAAACCCTTCCTCCAGAGCTCAGAGCCAAGTTCCTGCGGGAGGCCAGGTAGGCAAGGAGTGGAGACAAGTGATGGTGTGTGTGTCTGCTCTCTCCCTAATGTGTGGAGAAGGCAGCAGAGAGGATCCCTCTAAAGGTGGACCAGGAGTACAAGGCGAGATCAACATCTGCCGCATCTCATGCTTCCCTATGGAACTCCAGCCCTTTGGGGACCCACAGCACAGCTCTCCCATTGCTATGTGCACACTGGGGCTTCCTCACACTGCCCTGATTTTTGGGGGAGGGGACCAAGGGAGGGCCCCAGGACTGATGCTGAGCACATGCCCCTCTGCCTCCCTTGATAGGATCCTGAAGCAGTACAGCCACCCCAACATTGTCAGCCTGATTGGGGTCTGCACCCAGAAGCACCCCATCTACATTGTCATGGAGCTTGTACAAGGTCAGTGAAGCCCCCCCCCCCCCCCCCCCCCAGCAGAGGGACTATGTTTTGCTTATGGAAAATAGCAGGATGGAGGGGGCCTGGCAGAGGCTCTTATTTAATGGCAGGTGGCTGGGGAAAGCTTTGGTTCTTTTGCACAAGAGATATTCTTGTTGGGCGAGTGGGCTTATTAACTAGAGAATGTATAGCAGAGTAACTTATTAGCAGCAGCGTGATCCAGCACCAGTAGCCCAAAGTGATAAAAAGAACAAAAACACGCAATATTATATCTTCCTTAGGAGGCTTTTCTTTGTAGTAAAATAATATGGTTGAACTATTCACAACAACAAGGTTTCCATGACACAAGTAAAGTTCAACCTTCACACTAGAACTTCATACAAGAGAGCCTTCTCATACCGAGGCCTGCCTCACAGACTAAGGCCTTTCTCCCACTGAGGTTTACCTCAGACGGAGGCAGTACTGAGCAACAGGCATGAGCAGCTTCTCTGAGTCATTGCATCCATTTAACCCTTTCAATGCTTGGGTCACATTTTTGTAATTAAAAATACCTAGCTCATTTTTAATATTTTTGACATTGGGAACTGGGCACCTTGCCATTGCATCTCTCCTGCCCCCATCTTTTCTCTCCCAAGAGGCCACTGCTGGGCTCTTGTTGCATCTTCCCCAACAGCCAGCTGAAAGACAGGGCTGGGTGGGCACAGGTCAAGTCCCCCAAACCGTGAATGGGATGCTCTATCACTCCCTCACTCCCCTCACCATAAGGAAAGGCAGGTAACAAATAATTATTACTATTATAATGCCCCTTTCCCTCCATGACTCTGTCCCCGAGGTCTTTGCCTGAGGGAAGGCCAAATTGGGGGGGGGGGGGGGGGGGGGGGGGTGAGAAGAGGCCAAATTGCTCTTCCACTTGGCCCAGTAAAGGGGCTGCCTGTGTTTTGCTTTGGAGCCCCTTGGGCTGGATCTACACTGCCATATAATCCAGTTCAAAGCAGACCATCTGGACTTTCTATGGCAGTGCAGATATTGCCTTGGTCTAGCCCTTCAAGCACTGCTCCCGGAAACCCCTCTCCTGCTCCTTTCATCTACAGGGGGGGACTTCCTGACCTTCCTGCGGAACGAAGGGGCTGAGCTTACCTCCCGGGACCTTCTGAGGATGATGGAGGATGCAGCTGCGGGGATGGAGTACCTGGCAGGGAAGCATTGCATCCACCGGTGGGTGCCGGGACCCTAGGAGTCTGGCAGGTTTCTGGGACACTTTACCCAGCTGGCTGTGCTCTTCCAGGAGAAAAGGACACTCCACCCTCCAATCTGCCTTCAACCAGGAAGGAGGAGTGCTGTCAAAAAGCAAACCTACAGCAAGAACTGGCAGCCATGCAGACAGGAGGAGGGGGCCTGGGGGAGAGTGTTACTTATGGCCCTTTGTGCCCCACAGAGACCTGGCAGCCAGGAATTGCCTGGTGACGGAGAAGTATGCCCTGAAGATCAGCGACTTTGGGATGTCTCGGGAGCAGGAGGACGGCGTCTATGCCTCCACCGGCGGCATGAAGCAGATCCCAGTGAGGTGGACTGCACCAGAGGCACTCAGCTGTGGTATGTGGGTCTCCCCTCGGCCAGGAACGGGGGCTGCATGGCCCCAGGGCCACAGAGGGTGATAAGAGAGGCTGGCTGCATGGCCCCAGGGCCACAGATAAGACATGTGGGGCCTGCACAGGCCCCACTCCCTCACCCAGCCTTGGGCTCTGGCCTGGGGGCTTAGTACGGACCCCCACATAAAATAATAGAGTTAGAAGTGGCCGCATGGGCCAGCTATTCCAACCCTGACAGGTGTTGCACTCCAGGACAGGAAAAGCCCTCTAACTGTAAACACCACCCCGCTGATTGGAAAACAGTCCTTTTATTGAAGATAATTAAAAAGCAGCAAGTAAAAAGCACTTTAAAGAAATAGGTAATTCCAATTAGGCAAGAAGATAAGCAGGAGCAAAAATAGTCCGGGATGAAGTTCAGTAAAGTCCATAAAAACAAAGTCCACACTTATTTATTTATTTATTTATTTATTTATTTATTTATTTATTTATTTACTGCATTTATTGACCGCCGCTCTCAGCCCTAGGGCAACTCGCGGCGGTGCACAACATATAAAAACAGTTTACAAAAAGGGCAAAACAGGAAATCAATACAACAATAATACACTATAATCTAGTTACACTAAATAATCCGCTCCGTCACATCATAGAATCATAACCAATATCGTAATCCGTATTCCGTTCCAGTTGTCAATTACCAGTTGCCGTAGCGCTCAGTTGAATGCCTTCTCAAATAGCCAGGTCTTCAGGCTCTTACGGAAGGACAAAAGGGAAGGCGCCTGTCTGATGTCAGCAGGGAGGTCGTTCCACAGCCGGGGGGCCACCACCGAGAAGGCCCTTTCTCTCTAATATAATTCAGGAAAACAGGAAATATTGATCCAAGGCATAAATTCCAAGAATCCAAATCATGAACAAGAAATACTTTGACAAGAATCTTTCAAGCAAAGCTCCCATGAGACAAGGACGAGAACTACACTTGATTCCAACAATGCTTCATCTGACTATATTTCCCATACTTGGAACTTTTATCCCCTGGTTTTGCTTTACTTGAGATCCCTTTATCTTTTTCTGTCGGAGCCTGGCAGAATGCTGAAGGCACTGTTCGGCCTATCTGTTTTGGCTAATTTCTTCACACCTATCTATTTGCACATTAAGTCTTGCAGTTGGGCCAGGTCCCAGTTGTTTTCAAGCACCAAATCCTGGGAACTCTCTGGTAGTAATTTAGGGAGTACACTATCATCCCCACACGCTTCAGGGACATTCTCATGGAAACTACACTTTGGACAGGGGTCTCCTGTTCCTTCTCTGCATCATTGACCAAACCATTGCCATCTTGAAATTCATTGGCGTCACTTCCCACATCCAAACCACCCTGATCCTGAAACACAACAACAGGTAGGAAAAGCACAATTAAAAAGCCTCCAAAGAAGTAGCTTCCACCGGACTCTGAGGTAGAGAGTTCCACTGCTGAACAGCTCCCCTTACACTCAGGAAGTTCTTCCTAATCTTCAGGTAGAATCTGCTTTCCTGGAATTTGAACTCCGTAGCTCCATTGAGTCACACACACTTCCTTCTCCTCCCGCTCAGGGCTGTATTCCTCCCAAAGTGACGTCTGGAGCTTTGGGATCCTGCTCTGGGAAGCCTTCAGCCTCGGGGCCACGCCGTACCCCAACATGAGCAACCAGCAAACCCGGGAGGCTGTGGAGAAAGGTGAGGGAGGAAAGAAGGGAGGCTGCAATGGGTGGGTGTGTTGTCGCTGTCCTCTTGTGCCCCATTCAGAAAAGGGTATTTCAAGGGGAAATCCTCCTCCCACCCTCACAGTCTCTTCTTCTTCTGCCCGCAACTGCACAGGGGTCCGGCTGAGTGCCCCTGATCGCTGTCCGGAGGAAGTCTACCAGCTGATGCTGCGGTGCTGGGAGTATGAGCCACAGGACCGGCCCACCTTTACTATCGTCCACAGGGAGCTGGTGGCCATCCAGGCCCGGCAGCAGCGCCATGGAGGGTGGTTGCGCCAGAAAAGACCCTAGGGGCGGAAGACCCTGCACTCTCCAACTTTGAGCAGTGAGACCGTCTCTACGCCTATACCTTTGCTCTGGCTGAACCTCCCTCACAATACGCAGCTGGGCCAGCACTGCAAGGAAGGTGAAGTGGATCGGAAATCGTCTCAGGAGCCAAGGATGCATTTCATTTCTAAACTTCTAAAAACATGGGAACCTTCAGAATCACCCACATTGATCTGAATAGGATGGAGGCCTCTGGCATCACAGTCTCCCCTCCAAGGACTGAGCTATCAAATAGTGATCTACTAAAGTAGCAATATTTTTCTCTATATATACACACACATATATACACACACACACCAAAATGGATTGGGTGGCCGCATTATGGCAGACTACTGGGGGACTCGCTGCTGGTTAAGAGGACAGCCCATTCGTCAGTGTCAGCCCATTCTAATCACTGAAGGCAATTCTGAGGGCTCCTGGACTTCCTGGCCATCTACAGGGAAGGGTCACATATGTGTATAGAATGAATGATTTGTGTGAATGAGGCCTCTCAATGTCTGAAAATATTTCTTAATAAACTTTACAAGCATTGTCTTGCAAACCTAGATCTGGTGCTCTTTGTGTCTCACTTAATGCAATCTCTCATCGTCCGAGTATGATGGCCTCCCAAGTGTAGTGTCTTGGCAGTGGATACGTAGGTGACTGTAGAGCCCTATTCTTAATCCACATGTTTTTCCACAGTGAGGATATCGGTTTCCAGGTGGAAAGCAGTCCAGGTCAGGGTTGGCTTGACGCATCTTCCTCTTGGCACATTTCTCCCTTTCGCCCTCCATTTGTGCCCCTTTGAATTCTGCAGCATTGCTGGTCACAGCTGACCTCCAGTTAAGAGCGCTCAAGGGCCAGGGCTTACCAGTTCTCGGTGTCTATGCCACTATTACCAAGAATAGGTAGAGAAGGAAGAAAGGGGAGAAAGAGGAAGGAAAAGAAATGGCGGGGGGGGGGGGGGAGGAAAGGAAGAAGAAAAGAAGGAAGGAAAGAAGGGAGGAAGGAGAGAAAGAAGAGAACGAGGGAAGGAAGCAACGTATAGCTAGTATAATATAAAATGGAACTGTAGAGGAGAGTTTACTGAGCAAGCCAGTACCTGCCGCATACCAGTACTGCCATCTGTTGAGTTACGAAGGTGGAGGCATTACTTTTCATTCAACCCTCATAATTATAATATAATATAATAAATATAATTATAATTTGTTTTATTTATTTACGACAATTTTATGTCGTCCCTTCTCACCCCAAAGGGGACTCAGAGTGGCTTACAAGATATATATATACATACAATATATTTTATTATTAGCATAGTACAATGTCAGTAGTATATATTACTATATTGTACTATACCATTATATTGTAATATTATTAGTAATAATACATGTAATATAAATATATAATTAGAATACCATATTATTATTATTAGCTTTATATTGCATTACATTATCTATATATATATATATAAATGCTCTGTGTGTAATGAGTACCCTAAAAACAAAAGAACCAATGAACGAAATCACACCAAATTTGGCAACAAAACATCTCACAACATAAGGAGTGACCATCACTCAAAAAATTATGATTTTGTCATTTGGAAGTTGTAGTTGCTGGGATTTATAGTTCACCTACAATCAAAGAGCATTCTGAACTCTGTCAACGATGGAATTGAACCAATCTTGGCTCACAGAACTCCCATGACCAACAGAAAATACTGGAAGGGTTTGGTGGGCATTGACCTTGAGTTTGGGAGTTGTAGTTCACCTACATCCAGAGAGCACTGTAGACTCAATGATGGATCTGGACCAAACTCTACATGAATACTCAATATGCCCAAATGTGAACATTGGAAAATAGAATCTTGACATTTGGGAGTTGCAGTTGCTGGGATTTATAGTTCACCTAGAATCACAGAGCATTCTGAACCCCACTAAGTATAGAATTGGGCCAAACCTCCCACACAGAACCCCCATGACCACCAGAGTGGGCCACAGCAACGTGTGGCAGGGGACAGCTAGTATTATATATATGTGTGTGTGTGTGTGTGTGTATTAGCTGCCCCCTGCCACGCGTTGCTGTAGCCCAGTCTGTTGATCTGGAAAATAAAGTAATGAGAAAGTGTTGGTTTCTAATAGATGTAATTCCTTTATGCTTGTGGGTAAACAGTATTTCTTGCTGTTTCTTTGTCAGTGTTGATGTGGAGAGTGCCTGGTTTGCCCATCCTGGAGCATGCAAGATATCATTGTCCTTCTTTAAGGGCCCCTTTCAAATCTATGATACTATATCTCTGTGTGTGTGAATCATATCTATCTATCTATCTCTCTCTCTTGATGGCTGGACGGCTCTTTGTGAGGAGGACTTTGATTACGTTTTCTTGCCCTGATGAAGGGAGTTGGATTGGATGGCCTTAAGTATTTTCTGTTGATCGTGGGGGTTCTGTGTGGGAAGTTTGCCCTGATTCTGTCGTTTGTGGGGTTCAGAATGCTCTTTGATTGTAGGTGAACTGTGAATCCCAGTGACTACAACTCCCAAATATCAAGGTCTATTTCCCCCCGAAACTCCATCTGTGTTCATATTTGGGCGTATTGAGTGCTTGTGCTAAGTTTGGTCCAGATCCATCATTGTTTGAGTCCACAGTGCTCTCTAGATATTGGTTGAACTACAACTCCAAAACTTAAGGTCAATGCCCACCAAACCCTTCTAGTGTTTTCTGTTGTTCAGGGGAATCCTGTGTGCCAAGTTTGGTTCAATCCCATCGTTGGTGGGGCTCATAATGCTCTTTGATTAAAGGTGAACTATAAATCCCAGCAACTACAACTCCCAAATGACAAAATCATAATTTTTGAGTGATGGTCACTCCTTGTGTTGTGAGACGTTTTGTTGCCAAATTTGGTGTGATTTCGTTCATTGGTTTTTTTGTTTTTAAGGTACTCATTATGCACAGAGCATTTATATATATATATATATATATATTATTATCTATATATATATATATATATATATATAATTTTATATATATATATATATATAAAATTAGGAAAGCATGACATTTATAACCCAGGAACATATTGTGACATATTCAAAGAAAGAGACACCCCATATTCCACAAACAGCCTGTTAGGAATTGTGGGAGTTGAAGTCCAACACACCCAGAGGGCCTGCTGCTTGAGTTGGCAGCTCTTCCGCGTCACGTGGGAAAGGGGGAGGAGCAAGCGGGGAGGGGGAGGAGCTTCGCGAAGCTCCTCCCCCTCCCCGCTTGCTCCTCCCCCTTTCCCCTGCCGCTGCTGCTGCTGGCCTGCTTCCCTTCCTTCCTGAGTCCGGAGGCCGGCCTTCCTTCCTTCCCTCGTCTCGTTCCCTTCCTGTCTCTTCCCTCCTCCCTCCCTTCCCTTTTGCAGATGCTCCGGCGTGGGCGAGCCCGGGATGAAGTTGAAGAAGCAGGTGACGGTGTGCGGGGCGGCCATCTTTTGCGTGGCCGTCTTCTCGCTCTACCTGATGCTCGACCGCGTCCAGCACGACCCCGCCCGGCCGCACGGGGGCGCCAGCTTCCCAAGGGTCAGTCCCGGAAGAGGAGAGGGGCCAGGGGGCGGGGCCAGGGAGAAGGGGGCGGGGCCTCTTGTGCCTCACTGCCTGTATCTCTATTTGCATGCCTTTCAATAACAACAAGAGGGGGCAGCATGGGGTGTCACAATGCTTTGAGTGTTGGGCAATGACTCTGGAATTTCCTTCCCAGCCATGGGAACCCACAGGGAGACCTTAGGCAAGCCACATTCTCTCAGCCTCAGAGAGAAGTCTTGAGTTCTCTTGAAGTCTAGAGCGGAATATAAATAAAGTTTTATTATTATTACTAGTCGTCCCCTGCCAGGCGTTGCTGTGGCTCAGTCTAGTGATTTACATATGTTATTGTTCAGTCGTCTCCAATTCTTCGTGACCTCATGGACCAGCCCACGCCAGAGCTCCCTGTCGGCCGTCACCACCCCCAGCTCCTTCAAGGTCAATCCAGTTCCTTCAAGGATGCCATCCATCCATCTTGCCCTTGGTCGGCCCCTCTTCCTTTTTCCTTCCATTTTCCCCAGCATCATTGTCCTCTCTAAGCTTTCCTGTCTTCTCATTATGTGGATCTTCAGTTCTTGTGGGTTTTTTTCGGGCTATATGGCCATGTTCTAGAGGCATTTCTCCTGACGTTTTGCCTGCATCTATGTCAAGCATCCTCAGAGGTAGAACCTCTGAGGATGCTTGCCATAGATGCAGGCGAAACGTCAGGAGAATGCCTCTAGAACATGGCCCTATAGCCCGAAAAAACCCACAAGACCTCATGATGTGGCCAAACTACTTCAACTTTGTCTCTAGTATCCTTCCCTCCAATGAGCAGTCGGGCTTTATTTCCTGGAGGATGGACTGGTTGGATCTTCTCGCAGTCCAAGGCACTCTCAGCACTTTCCTCCAACACCACAGCTTAAAAGCATCTCTCTTCCTTCGCTCAGCCTTCCCTAAGGTCCAGCTCTCACATCCGTAGGTTACTACAGGGAATACCATGGCTTTGACTAGGCGGATCTTTGTTGCCAGTGTGATGTCTCTACTCTTTACTATTTTGTCGAGATTGGACATTGCTCTCCTCCCAAGAAGTAAGCGTCTTCTGATTTCCTGGCCACAGTCTGCATCTGCAGTAATCTTTGCACCTAGAAATACAAAGTCTGTCATGGCCTCCACATCTGGAAAATAAAGTAATTTATTTATTTATTTGTCGTGTCAGATTAACCAGTCAATTATATTACATTTCTAACAGAACAAAGCAAACAAACAGATAAAATACAACATTTGTGAGTTTGGTAGTTGGTTAAATGTCCCTTGACCAGTACCTGGCCACTTGGAGTGCTTCTGGTGTTGCTGCAAGAAGGTCCTCCATTGTGCAAGTGGCAGGGCTCAGGTTGCATTGCAGCAGGTGGTCAGTGGTTTGCTCCTCTCCACATTCGCATATCGAGGATTCCACTTTGTAGCCCCATTTCTGAAGGTTGGCTCTGCATCTTGTGGTGCCAGAAAATGAGAAAATGTTGATTTCTTTCTAATACATGTAATTTCTTTCTGCTTGTGGGTAAACAGTATTTCTTGCTGTCTGGTGATCTGGAAAATAAAGTAATGAGAAAGTGTTGTTTTCTGTTATATGTAATGTCTTTCTGCTTGTGGGTAAATAGTATTTCTTGCTGTTTCTTACTCAGTGTTGATGTGGAGATTGTCTGGTTTGCCTACTCTGGAACATGCAACATATAATTGTCCTTCTTTAGGGGTCCCTTTCAAATCTATGATACTATATCTGTCATTAACATATATATGTGTGTGTGTGGATCATATCTATATCGATGGCTGGATGGCTCTTTGTTAGGAGGGCTTTGAATATGTTTTCTTGCCCTGGTGAAGGGAGTTTATTTATTTATTATTCAAACTTATATTCCGCCACTCCCCTGGGGCTCGGAGCGGCTTACAAGAATGGCTAAAATCTAACACAATTTAAAAACAATTTAAAACAATTTAAAAACAGCAATATCAAAAATCAAAGACCTGTCGAA